GCGCAGCGCGGCGCAGAGCGGCCGCCATGCCGGTGGAGCTGGCGCTGTGGGGCGGCCCGCTGGCCCTCACCGAGGTGGAGGAGCGGCCCGCGCGGCCGCTGCGCGTCAAGTACGGGCCCTTGGAGATCGACGAGCTGGGCAAGGTGCTCACGCCCACGCAGGTGAGCGCGGCGCGCGGGAGCGCGGCGGGAGCGCGGCGCGGCCTGGCCCTGCTCACGCCGTCGGCCCTCAGGTGCAGCACCGGCCCACGAGCATCGAGTGGGAGGGCTGCGACCCGCAGAAGCTCTACACGCTGGTGCTCACGGACCCCGATGCCCCCAGTCGGAAGGACCCCAAGTTCAGGTAAGGGGGGAGCTGCGCGCCCGGGCCGCCCCGTGCCCGCCGCAGGGAAGCTGCTCTGCCCGGCTGGGCAGCTCGGGGCGCCCGGGCGGTCCCGCAGCCCTGCTCGAGGCCGGGCCGGGCGCTGGGATCTGCCTTTGCCCCCGCTGTTGGGAGCCACTGCAGCTAGCGCGGAGCGTGTGGTGGAGCTGGAGCCGTGTGCCAGGAGCGGAGGCCTGGAGAGTTCACCTTGCGCGGGCAGCCTTGGAAATGCGCCCGCTGCCAGGTCGTAGGAGCCAGCCTCTGGATTCTTGCTTTTGCAGAGCTGCCGAGTAGGGTGACAGCGCTGGCCGTGGCGGCTGTGCATCCTGGCGCAGAGCGCGCAGGGGAGGCAGTGCCTCCCGCGCGAGCTGCAGTTCTGCACAGGGAGGCGTGTGGGAAGCGGCGGCCGAGCGCGCGGAGGCGCCTTGGCAAAGAGGGGACCTGCTGCAGTCTCACGGGGTGCTGCTCTTCCCTTCCAGGGAATGGCATCACTTCCTGGTGACCAACATGAAAGGCAACGACGTGGGGAGTGGGAAGGTGCTGTCCGATTACGTGGGCTCCGGGCCTCCCAAAGGAACAGGTCAGTGCCGGGAGCTGCCGCGCTCGTGCCCTGAGCGCATCGGTGCTGCGAATGATGGAGCAGTGCGAGAGGGGCAGGGTGCAGCCCTGCAGAAACCGGCTGCGGGTACAAGCTGCCCGTGTGGCTCTGCAGAGCGGGGTGGTCCCCCGGCCAGCGCTGGAGTGTCACAGCCGTCCCCGTGGCCACCGCTGTGCCGCCTGGGGGGTGGGGAGCCCTAGTTCTGGCCGTGACACAAATCAAACATTTCCAGACCGTCTTCTGTCAGCTCCTTTAGTTAACTCGCACTTAGGCATCTTATCCTGGAGAATGACAGTAGCAGCTCCTAGTGCTTCTCAGGTAGGTGCCATCTTCTGTCCCCCTGAGCTAGGGGAGCCACTTCACAACTAGCATTAACCCCTGGAATACGTGATCCTGGAAGAGCCACGCGGTGGGGGCAGCGGGAGCGGGTGCTGTGCAGGCCTGAGACCCCGCTGAGGAGCGACGCCCGGCCCCCCTCTCGTCCCGCAGGGCTGCACCGCTACGTGTGGCTGGTGTACGAGCAGCCCAAGCAGCTGACGTGCGACGAGCCCATCCTGTCCAATCGCTCTGGCGACAAGCGCGGCAAGTTCAAGGTGGCCGCGTTCCGCAGCAAGTACGGCCTGGGGGCGCCCGTGGCCGGCACTTGCTACCAGGCCGAGTGGGATGACTACGTGCCGAAGCTCTACGAGCAGCTCTCGGGCAAGTAGGGAGAGGGGAGGCTGCAGGAGCCCCCCCCAATCCGTCCCCCTTCCCCTAAGCACTGTGTGATGTCCCCGTTCCCCTGGGAGGGGGTTGGTCAAAGCACTTCTTTAATTTTGTTTGATTAGTGACTTGTACCAGCTGCTCCCAAACTGACCACTAGAACCGTAACCTGAACCACAGCCCTGTCGCTGGCGTGATTTAAATCCGTTTCCCTGTGACTGTGGCTTGGACTTGTGCTGTGCTTCAGCTCACACCCGTAGCTAGAGGCTAGAACAAGCTGCTGAAAAGCTGCCCCTTTAGCGGCCACCCCTTCCCGACTGCCTTGGGTTTAAGGAAAATTGGAGCCTTTGGGAATTACAGTTTGGGCCACGGTATCGGTATGTTGCAGCAGGGGTGGGCGCTGGGGTCGTGCTGTCTGGGTTGAGTCCCACCTTTCAGGACGTGGGAGTCGTGCTGGCCTTGGGAAAGCTGCTTTTTTGTATTTTGCTTTGTTTTCCTCTTCATTATTTCCACTAAAACAACGCTGGAATAATTGGTCGCGTTAGGTGAGGAAGCTGATTTAAAGAGCTGTGTTCTGCTCCGTGTCAACTCTCAAAGCGGACAGTATTTTGTTCAAACGTTGTTGCCGTGCTGGTTACTCACAGTGCAATTAAAACCTTGCCCAGGTGGAGGTCTGTGGTTGTCTTCTTGGGGGGAGAGGGGAGTGCTGGGGCGCAGCTTGGAGCAGCCCCCGCTGTTGGTCCTCCTGGGGGACCGGCGCGAGGACTGGAGCCCTTGGGGAGCCCCAACGTGCTGGCAACGGGGCCTGCGCTGCCTTTCAGTGAGAGGCTGGGCCGAGAATGAGCCGGGCTTCACCAACATCACACCTGCTTTGAGCTCAGTTCCTGGGGAATGGGAGAAGGCACCAGGCCAGGGCTGAGCCTCCCTCCTTGAAAGACACTTCCCCAAAAATGCTCCTAGCAGCTCCCGCACCCTGGGGCTGTCCGCACCCGTAGTGGTGCGGCTGCTGGCTCAAACCTGAACCGTGCCCAAAGGGTGGCTTAGAGGCTACACAAACTCCTGCCAGCTCCAAGGAAGGAGCAGGGCGAGCAGGACAGGGCCAGCAGGGACCACGGGGCCATTAAACACCAGCCTAAGCCCAGCAGAAACTCATTCCGTCTTTAAAAATTAAGACAGGACATTGCTTTTTCCAGGCTGTTTGTGAAGCCCCAGTCTCATTTATCACAGGGCAACTTATGCCCTGAAAACCCTCCTGTCACCTGCTCCCGGCTTCCCCCTTCCCAGCAGCTCCAGGGGCAGCCTCTGCTCCCTGCTCCACCCCGTGTTTCTGGGAGCTGCGGGGAAGCAGCTTGGGCTGCTAGGGGATCCTCTCGCCCCATCTGCCTTCTTGGGGTGCTGATAAAACCAGCGCCCTTAGAAGAACCTTCCCAGCAGGTAGAGGCAGCTTGGCCCGGGCTCAGGCTGCAAGAGGGGCAGGAAAGCACCAAAACCACCAGCAAAACACCCCAAAAACTGCCCCAGCAAAAGCCCGTCCCCACCTACCGCCACCTCGGGAAGAGCAGGACAGGCCCCAATGAGACAGCGAGGCAGTGTGAGGAACACTTTTATTTACAAATATAATTAAAAGCTCTGACAGTTATTCATGCTCTTCCTTTGAACCTGAAAAATGTTTTTGTTGGTTTTTTTTTCATTTTTTTAAAGTGCATGCAAAAGAAGTAAAGCCTTTTTTTAATCTTTTTTATTGTAAGAAAATACACAGTTTGAAAGTGTGAATAATGCGGTATTTATGACCAAGATCATGGGGTTGGGGGTAGACTTGGGGGAGGAACAAAAGAAAAAAAAGGAAAAAAGAAAAAAAAAGAAAAAAAAAAAAAGAAAGGGAGGGGGATGATCCGACAGACAGTGCTGAACTCCAGATACTGAACCGGAAAGTGGGTGGGAGGGCTGGGACCAGGAGGGAAGCAAGGGGGGAAAGAAGTAAAAAAATTTTTGATCAGAGAAACAGTTAAAATACAATATGAAAATAAGTAAAAGCTCTCCTTAAATTCCTTCTATACACAAAATACACGATTTGACAAAGCCCAATTTGTGCTACTGGGATCCTGTGGGCTCATTTAAGTGTATTCACATTCTCTGCGACAGCAGAAAATGATTATGATACAATCAAGAATATGCCGAAGAGCGAGGTCTAATCCCCGCCTCGCCTGGCATGGTTCTTCTAAAAATCACCAGATCTTTGCCCCGTCCCACCCCACCCCCAAAAAAGTAATAATATGTCACCACTGATATGTACATCACGATTAAGTTTTTCTGTAAAATGTATCAAATTTTTTAATCTTTAATAAAATTTTTATTATTTAATTATTCCTGATGAATAAATACCAAAAAAATAAAAATAAAATAAAATTATGCAGCAGCTAGTTAAGGTAAGGCTGCGGATTTAGTCTCTCTCCCCCTGGGTTTGTAGATATCAACCAATTATTTTTTTTGCTTGTACTTCCATTGATTGGTGGTAAAATGAGTGATTGCTCAAAAGCAACATACATCCACTTTTTTTGTATTTTTTTGTTTTTTTTTTCTCCATTAAAACTGTCTCCAAAGTTTTCACTGAAACATTTTTTTTAATCATTGCACAGAGACATCAATACTGTGACATACTATGAAAAAGACCGCCAGGAGCTGCCCACCACTGGGACTCGACACAGGGGGGAAAGGGGGCCCCTGATGGAATAAGAATATACAGGCACTAGTCCGACACGATGTCAGTAAGAGAGACAGAAAGAGAGAGAGCTCGCCCGGTACCGTGGGGAATGTTGCTTTTGCAGGTTTTATACCATTACTTTGCTTTTCTGTTGGTGTTGTGTTACTTTTTTTTTTTTTTTAATGGCAAAGAAATTTAATCTCATCTACAGTCCTCCTTGGGATATTCTAACGTGACCAAATTCCCAAAGCCCATCCGCATGCTTTCCATGTCAAAGGTTTCGATCTCCCGCTCCTGCCTCTCCAACAGGAACTTGATCCTCTCGCTGCGCTCCTTCTGCAGGGCCGCGAGCTCCTCCTCGATCTGAAAGAAGCAGAGCGGGCAGCGCCGCGGCGTTACCGAAACCGCCCCGGGTGGCCAGGGCCCCGCCAGCTCCGGGGGCCCCATTCCACGAGCGACCCAAGCAGGCCCTGGAAACGGCGGCGTGCCAGGCGAGACGGCCGCCCCCGCCGTCACCCCAGCCCTACCTTCTGCTCAAGATGTGCTCTGCGCAGTGACACCCGTTGCTCCAACTTCTGGAGCTCCCTTTCGTGCTGTGCTTCTGTCTGCATCTTAATTTTGCTCTGATACGCGTTGAGCAGCTCCATCTCCTGCTGGAGTTGCAGTCTCAGGGCTTGGCATTCTGCTTCTTGGGCCTCATCCAGCCGTAGCTGTAAGATCACCGGGGGGGAAAACAAACAAACAAAACCCATTTAGGCCTCTGCTAGTGGCTGCTCCGATGCCAGCAACACGCTGCTCTTTCCTCCCCAGAGCAGGGAGGCTGCACCTTGCGTGGCCCAAACCGCGGCCCTGGTGCTTGCTGCACAAGGGAACAGTGGGGAGGGTTTTATAAAGCCCCGCTGCAACCACTCACACCCAGAGGCAGGAGCCTCGCCGAAGATCCGAATCTACAACCTCAATGTGCGAGGGAGAGGGTGTCTGTTTTACCACACGCTTGCTACAAAACGGGAGAGTGGTGTCTAAGGCAGCAGCTTAAAATGCTCCCAACAAGCGCACGGGCAGCGCCGCACTCACCGCTTGCGAGGCCATCATCTCATTGATGCTCTGCTCGTACTGCTCCGCGAGGATGGCGAGCTTCCTCGTCTGCTCATCCTTCAGACTCTTCAGTATCGTCTTGTGCTCACTCTTTGGAGTTACTTCCAGCTGGTGATTCTTCAGTGCTTTGTACTGCTTCGTTTGCACTTTGCACGTGTCCTGGAACTGCTTTTTGATCTGCATTTCCATAGCCTGCCGAGGAAGGAGCCGCATGAAGGGCACGAGGAGCTTTGGGAGGCGACAGAATCAGCGGGGAGAACAGCCCCTTCCCAAGCTCTGCACTGTGTGCTGCCCCGTGCCCGGGCGCTGCTGCTCCCTTTGTGCCCGCGGCCTCGGGGGCTCCGGGCATTTCCATTTCCATCTAACGCGCATCCCCCAGGGCATTTCCATCTTCCCCCACTACTTCCTGCTACTCCCCTACCAGAGGGCTCTTGCTTTCCAAAGCCCCCCCTTTTCCTGCCCCACAAATGCCCCCATACACTGTGTGGAGACTGAATCTGAGAACTGTTCTGCGTGCAAAGAAGCAAAAAAGGAGCAGGCTCCTGTGGCTCTCCAGAGGAGGAACACAGGTCTCCAGGAGCAGCTCACGGGCTTTAATTAACCAGTAGCTGAACTGGGAGGCTGAAGCACAGGGCTCAGCACACCCACGTTTGCTCCTTTTGTTCATTTTGAAAGCAAGGAAGCATCACCCAGCCCCTTCGCATACCGACAGGCTGAGATGAGCAGCACCCTCAAGAAAGCAGAGCTCCCCAGAAGCCAATTCTGTCACACTTAGCTAAACACTCATCTATTGGTAGCCAGCAGGCCGAGTAATGTGGCACTTAAAAATACTCAGCGAGCTCGTTTGGTGTCTGAGATCCACATACAGAGACACCAGGAAAGCACACGGAGGTGCTGGGGAGGGGGTTCTGTGTCCGGACACTGCACGGGGGGAACAGAGCTTCGGGCACCTTCAGGTTCTTTGGTTGCTGCCGGAGCTCCATGAAATGCTTCCTGTGCAGCTCCCGCTCTCGCCGCTTGTTGTACTCCAGCTGGTTCTCCAGCTCGGTCTGGTGCTGCAGCCGGATGAGGTCCATGCGCAGCTTCTGCAGCGTGTGCAGCTGCCGGTACTCCAGCTCGCGCGTGGACTCGTCGTGCCGGATCAGCATGGCGTGCTCCATCTCCTTCTGCGTCCGCTTCTTGTTCAGCTCCTGCGCGGGCGACAGCGAAGCACTAGAGAGCAGCTGGGCCGCGGGGCGCCGGGCCGGGCGCGCGCCGCGCTCAGGCACTCGTCCACCCCCAGCCCCGCAGCGCCTCGGCTGGGCGCCCAACCAGCAGGATGGACTTTCACCTGTTCTAACTCGCCCCTTGGCCCCTGCTGCTCTGGTGCTGGGAGCTGCAGCGGCCCCTCGACACGAGTTAACGTGGTCAAAGCCAAGGGGCTCAGCTCCGACCCGCGGCGCTGAGAGGACCCTCGGTAGCAATTCCGGGCCCTCCAGCTGCAGCAGGTTGGGCAAAGCAAGGAAGCCTTCCAGGTGCCACGCTGGTTTTGCACGTGCGTGCAAGAAATGCTTCAGCTGGGAGCCTGCAGCCTGGGGAAACATCCCCCACGTTGCAAAGCCCCAAAAGGGGAGAATCTCTGATTCTTCCACTGATTTCTGTTAATATTCCTGATCCAGTGGATTTAAACTAAGTAGTTATTTTAGGGAATTTTAATGACATGTGCATCATTCTGAAAATTAAGTCTCTTAAGAGAGGCTAAATGAAGGAGCTCAAGGAAAGAAGATGGGTTTCCTGCTTAAAACACACTCAAATACCATGCTGGAGACCTGAGATCTGCTCTCATCCCTACCCCAGAACTTGTTTGCACTGACAAGGGTGCCCAAATCTGAGCTTTCAGTCATTCATTTTCAGGGTGTGCAAGCTGAGATCTTTGCTTGTGATCTGCAAAGCAACGGAGCAGCCCTGGGCACCTCTAGAGCCCATGCTGGGCTTTAAGTAGGGCCCAAAGGCGACATCCGACTACTCGAAGGTGAGCAGAAAGCAAACACCTAAGAGGATTTTGGTATAAAATTTTGAGTCCCTTCAGGGGGAAGGCCTCAGTCCTGTAGGGGGAGGCCTCTTCTGCCCAATATTTGTCCCGTGTGAGGGTGTTTTAGGCACCGGGTTGAGCTGCTCCCCCGATGCCCTCTCAGGTGTCCCCCAGCGTCACGAGCACCCACGTGGGCCAGCACCCAGCCCCACGCTGCAGGCTCCCCTGCAGCCCCAGGGCCGGCGGGCTCGGGTGCATCCAAGGCCCACATCTTGTCTTGTCTGGAAGCTAATTATGCCACTCTCATCAATGAAAGTCACCACCTACCAACTACATTTCCAGATGGAGTATTAGCGCCCAAAACACGGTCCCTACATTTTCCTCAGTTCGGATTAGCAACGGAAAACATGAAGACCTAGCGTCACATGTCTCATAGACACAAAGCTAAAGCCATTAAAGAAACGCTAGGCAGAGGAATTGAAGGGTGCCGTACTTCCCGTATGTTCTGCTGCTCCATCTCGTGCCTCTTGATCATCGTTCTTCTCTTGAAGGAACGGCAGTTTTTGTCGTAGTAGAGTCTCTGCTGGCTGAGAAGATGGGCCTCCTCTTCAGCCTGCGTGTGCTGCAGGTTCTCTTTGTGTTTGGATATTCTTTCCTGCTTCTCTTTCTTGGGCGTGCTGTGGTCCTCATTCATTTCCTGTGTGCAGGCACAGCCAAGAAAACACGACTTTCCTTAGGATCACGGAAACACTGGACTCTCAGGACCTTCCTGTCACTGACTGACTACTCCTCTGCTATTTAATTCATGGAAGCAGGACACCAAAAACCCGACTGCAGCCACAGCTACCAACAGAACCAGACTGTCACCTGCCTGCGCTCAGCTCTACTGTTTTTAGAGCTGTATTATTACAAGGAGAGGGAAAAATGGAAAGAAAACCAAAACCACCTCAAGGACTAAACAGTCCCACAAAGAAAAGAGTGAAACATCACTGCAGGGGAGGTGCTGGTGGCCCAGGAAAGTGAAGGGGTCGAAAGCCTCATCTCACTTCCCAGCTCTCCATCTGTTTTACAAAGCCTTCCAGCTTGGATTCCAGCTCTCTTTATTCCAATAGGATCTAAATATAAGCTCAATTCTCTACTGAACCACAAGTGTAACAGGGCTCCTTGCTTTCCTTTTTCTCCCTTTTACATTCTTAACAGCAAACGATTTTGGAGCTCAGCTGGGGACACTGTCCTCAAGTAACACAATTTGCAATGGATTAGCTATGTACTTCATTACTCATTTCTTTATTCTAATTTGTATAAGTGATCACAAGGCTTTTAGCCAAGTGACATCTACATGGCTGCTGTGGTTCCTCAAGGCTTGAGGGGAAAAGAGGGTAAGGAAAAGAGGAAGAGTTCTCTGCAACTCCCCTGTACCTCATCACTCGCAGTTTCAAAGATCCTGCTCTGCAGAGAGCCACGCAGGCCTCTCTAGCAGCCCCACAGATTGTTCTAGAAATGTTGCCAGATGCTCCTAGTACCTGAAAGGTAATTGCTGGGAACCTAAATTTGCTTCCAAGTATGACAGTATCCCTTAAAACCCTGGGCTGGCCCAGATTTATCAAAAGGAAAGTCCAGTTCACGCTCATTCCACACCCCTTCAACCCTGGAAATAACAGTTTCTTGCCTCTTTAATCTTTTCCTTGCAAAGCTTGTATTGTTTCTTCTGACTTTCTAAAAAGGTCGCCAGGTCTTTCTTTTGCTGAGCCAAAATCTGCTGCTGGAATTTCTTTTCATCTGCTGCAGCTGCCTTTGCCTGTAAGGCACAGAGAGGGAGAGAGAAAGAGGGTGAGGGAGCAGGCACCAAACGCATCACAAAAACCAAGGACCAGATGTGCAGCTTGAGCCTGGGCCACAGAAAGCCACCAGTATTCAGCTGCGTGAAACCGACTTGTAAACACACAAACAATAAACCATAACGCCTGCAGACATACATGAATTTCCTTATGCATTCTGTATCTCCAGCAAAATAACCCCAGAGGGTAAAAAACACCACCGAGTTAACACGTGGACTAACATGAGGATTTTTAGAAAGACTGAATAACCCAGACGGAGCCGTTACTGTCCCGCGAGCTCCTTCACACAGCTATGAGAAACTGAGCTCTCCATGAAGTCAATCTTTCTGCCACTAACTACGTTTCTGGTCCCTGGCAATGGAGTGTCATCCTCTGGAAGGGTTTTAGGAGCCTCATCCACAGCCTCTTCCCAGAGGCTGGCACAAGGCTCTCTCCTCCTCAATGTTCTGCTGCCCCTCCAAGGAGTCTGTATCCAAACCCACCTCTTTCTCCATCACAGCTACTTGCTTCTTGGCCAGCTTCTCCAGCTCGATGGACGAGTTGTTGGCATGTGTCTCCACCTCCTTCTGCAGCTTGAGGCGGTGCTCGTCCATCTCGGCCTTCAACTTGTTTTCCAGGGCGATCAGCTGCTTCTGGTGCTGGCGCCGCATCCGCTTATATCCTGACATCTGTTCCCGCAACTCGTTCTCCTGCTCATGCTCATGGATCTGTCTTGTAACCTGGGGTCAGGAAAAGGGGGAAAAACAATCTGCTATGTGGCCTTCACGCTCAGGCTCTCTCCTTATTAGCTGCTTACCTGTGAAGCAGGTTGTGCTCCGCTCTTCTCTTAGTAATGAATGTCCAGGGAATGTTGTTTCAGGCTCTCAGGCAGTGCCTTTGCTTAACACCACAAACTACACCATGAAGTTTCTCTTTTCTGGCACAGACAGCCAGATCTGATATTTGTACCCCATTTTCCAAGGATTTTATGCACATTTTCACAGCAGAAAAGGTCACATTATGAAGAAAAGCAGCGGCAGGTTACAAACTGCTCAAGGAAAGATCTACAGAGGTGGCTGCTGCACAACCTTCTTCAGACCCAGCACACAAATCCCAGGTGTGACAAGGGCCTAGCAACCAGCAGCCCCTCTAAGCAAAGGAAACGCACACCCAGACATCCTCCCCTTCCTTAGCAGCTCAGCATAGCCCTGATTCACTCCCTCTCTACCTGCTCCCTGCCAAGAGCTGCCTCCCTCCAAATTCCTTATTAAAATTCAGGAGATGGCAGCCCGATCCCATGTTTTCATCAATCTCTACACATTCTGCTAAAGAACCTCCCCAGTCTCTCATCTAGCTCATGAGACGAGAACAAACCATTTAAGCCATTTTCATTATTAAACTGCAAAATTTCCTATCAACTCTGCCTCACTCTGACCTTCTACTACAATCACAGCGGACACCCAGCTAAACTTGGGCTGCACACACGCATGGCACTCGCTTTCCAGCACGATTTTTTCCTGCCTTTTTCCTTTTTCAGCCTCTCACTTCTCTGGGTGGCTGCTCCCAAACCCCAGGCAGAGTTGGCTACTCAGCTTCTCTTCCAACGGATGCTGAAGGGTCGTTCCTGCTTATGCTTGACCCAACCTGCAGACACACAAGCCCATCTTGCAACGAAGAGGTTCCCAAGAGCAGTGCAGAGACACTCGCAGGAGCAAAAGCTAAAAAGTGCTCTGAAAATGGGAGCAAAAGAGAGGCGAGGAACTTTGTGCTGTGTACGGAGCGCTCTCGCCCACGGGAAGAGAGTTTCCCAGCCTCTGGAACTGAGCACTCCTAACCAAGGTGATCATATGGCTGAAGCAGATTATAAATCCCGCTCAGCTGAAACAAACTCACAAGTTCCACATGGATTTCCACGCTCCAAATGCATGTATGGGAAAGGAGGGAAAAAAGCCCATGCGGGTGTGCCAAGAATTTTAAGAGGAAAATGCAAATGGCAATGCTTCCATTTTGAAAGAGTAAGAAAGTGTCCAAATGTGAAATCATCTTTTTTAAGAACACAGTCCCAGGAACTCCACATATAAAGATCTGCTCATCACTTTTAAGATAGCCCTGGGAGCAAATAAGCTGCAGCCCTTCACATACATGGATGTGGACCTGGAGACCACAGCTCCAAGGAGGCCTTCTGCTTTCACACCTAACACGTATGAGGCAAAAAGCCATTTAGGGAAGATGACTGAAGCCTCACAAACCAGTAATTCTTCTTGTACCCAAAGTAGCTGCCGCTTTCCTGTGGTTTGCAAGATATGGACACCGCAGAAGTCAGGAGGAAAAAAGGAATGTTTCATTCCCGAAGATGAAAAGCAGAACAGGAGGCTGGGAGGACCTTCGGTTGGTTTAAATGTCTGCACCCAGGCTGGTGCTAAAGGCCACCACACCACTCCTCAGAAGGCTGGTTTTGAGGAAACTCTCCACAACGGTGATTTCGGCCAAGGCTCGGAGGAAACTGAACTTCAAATAGTCACCGAGTGTGACCAGATCCTACTGAGATAGCAGAGAAGTGCTTCAGAGCAGCCATGTCAATACAGTTAAGTGAATGAATAGTCGTGGTTTGAGAGAAGCAGCCCTCAATGGCTGAATGGCTTTAGTGACAGCTGTAAGGAGAGAATTTGGGAAAGCTGCAGTCCCTCCTTTCTGTTGTTCTTGGACAAAAGCACTTTGAACTTCGCCAACTTCTTCACAAGCATAATCCCATAAATTATAAAGGAAAAACGTTGACAACTGAAGTGCTCCCTGCAGAACACTGTCCAGAAAAATGCCAGGATCCTTAGAACAGAAACGCCGCCGTTTCTTGGAACTCTATTTGAAGAGCATAATAATCAATCAGGTCATCAGCAGAGCCCCAAGTCTGTATAAAACAGAACAGCTTTCATTAAGGTAGGACATTTTCTCAGTTCCTTACCTCCCTGCGTCTTTGGCGTGCACAGAACCGAGACAGACAGATGCCTTTCCCAACCTACTCTCACAAGCAGTTCACTTGTCATCTAAAATCCAAGCTACTCTCTTTTTTTTCCCCCCCTTCAAAATTTTAGCTTTACATAAGGAACTGGCCTTCCAATTCCTCCTTTAGTACTGGCAGTTCTTCACACTTCCTCCTTCCACACTGCTCAACCAAGACACCAAACCCTCTCCTCAAGGACAGCTCTTCTCCCCTCTCAGTGACCAAATGAAAGACAGAGGCAGATATTGAGCAAGACATTGGCCTCTCACAATGATAAAAGAACTTTGAGACAAGAAAGAACAAATTCAGTATTTTTGGAGGGAAGATCTACACAGGCAGCAGCCAGGTAAGTCCCTTAAGATAAAATCCACCATGGGGAACACAGGGCCATTGTTTCAGCAGAAGAGGATGCAGGGGGACATGTCCATGTGCCACGTTTTGGACCCAGGCTGGTCTGGTGTTATTTTAATGACCACCGCTGCAGCAGGTTGCTCGCACCTACTCAGACAGTTGGTTTCCACAGACCTGGGGGTAGATGACCCTCTTCTTTTGCTGGCATCTGGACTCGAAAGAGAAAGCCAAGGCCTTTGATGGAATCCACGCTACATACTGTCTCTCAAGTTTTAAATACTAGATCATTTCACCTGAAAACTGTAGAAACAGCCATCAAGAAAGTGAATGAAGCAGTGGAGTCTTTACAGATCGGATGAAAATAGAGTCAGAAACAGACCCGTACAAATTAAAAAAAAATAAAAAAGACTTTTCATAGGAAAAATATTTATAGGTACCATTTTCTTGGGATGCAGAACCTTTAGCTTTCTTTCAAAATGCAGCTTTCCCAGCTTCAGGGCTTACATTTCTAGTTTTAACTTTCAATTTATGGACCATTGCTACTCTGCAAAATAATATGGAAATTCAGCAGGCATTTGATCTTCTTTGCAGGCACTAAATTTCATTGCAACAAATGTTTTCTCAGTAGCACTACTGAGAGTGACAGCTATTTTTGCCAAAAGTGCTATAAAAAGAGAAGTTGGGGGTAGGCCATGCAGCGTCCAAAGAGGAAGGTGGTTCAGGGAGGTGCTTTGGCAGAGCAACAGGGCAGGAGAATCACACTTAACATCACGAGGACAGCTAGAGCTTAGGGTTGTCTAACGCAGTTCTTCTGTGAGCCCTACATCTACTGAAACTATTTGAGTTTATTCTTGGAAAGGGACCAGTCTTCAAGTTGAGCCTGCTTTTAGAAACAGCCGTCCTTCATGAGGCTGCAACACCCTGATCTAGGACTGAACAATGAGGACTTGAGGGCTCAGGGTGAGACCCGGTCCCCAAAACCGAGGCCACAGACGGCCACGAAGCCCCGCGACAGCCCCAGAGCTCAGCGCTCCCGCCCCGAAACGTCGCCCTTCCTTCGCTCTGGAGGGGCTCAGCAGAGCTTTACACCCATACGTGTCCTTCCAGGTACTGATTTGGTGTCAGAACTCCCATTTTCTGGTGCCTCTCTCCACCGCGTGACCCTTCTGTGCCTCAAAGACAGCACCCAAGTGCTTAGAGACCATGGCCAGTGTAAGGGGCAGAGCATGTCGGATCCCGTGGGACCTCAAGACTCTTGAGATGCTGCTTGAAAGACAGAGTGTAAATTAACACGGAGAGATGAAGACAGACCCACTGGAACCTGAACTGCTAGTTCTGCACTACAGATTTTGGCCATGCCAGGTCCTATCCCCCTGTACCGGCTGCATAACCTTTCCTTCCCCATGGATAACGCAGCAGGGGAGAAGGGGACAGGCACAATGGAGGTTTTGCTGAGGCCAAAGCAGGAGCAGCAGCCACCACCACCAGCCAGTGACACCCGCCAGGCACAGAGAGGCAATCAAATACAGCGTGGAAAACACTGCTCTATGGAACAGTTTAAGTTAGAATTTCTGCACCTCCATTTTGGCACATGCAGAAGTTAATGAAAGATTACTAAGGGGAAAAGCCCGTCACACAATTAACAGACATGAAATGCAATACTTCTGTTATTCTGTTCACTGTTAACAGTGAAATGAACCCTCTTGTCTTAAAACTCAAGCACAGAGTAACATCTCCTGTAATACCAAGGTGGGGAGGTTCTCCCTGTGCGGGAAGTTCTCCCTGTATGAGGATGGCAAGAAAGCTTTTACATGGCACATACTACCAGTGCTTCCCCAAGGAAAGGCCTGCTGGCTGGAGCAGTGAGGTAACATGTGGGAATTCTCACCTTCCCCAGGGATACGGGGCTGTGCACGTACTGCTGCACTGGCGTGAACTCCGAGCCTTCTGGCAGGAGCCCAGACGTGCCTCATAGCGGAGCACTTCCACAAAAAAGCTGAAGGAGAGAAGTTCTCCAGAAAGCCTAATTTCTTTCTCACCTAGTACTCACTTCATTATAGCCATTTGCTCCCTAAGGAAGGGATTTAGCAAATGCAAGCGACCAAAGCAGCAGGGCAGGCACAAGCCCAGCCTGCAGGATGCTGCTGTGGGACTGAGGAGTGACCTTGGCACATTAGGTATCTCCTCCAGGGCTTAGAGGTCTGGGAGGACCTCACTGTCCATATCCTCATAGCCATATCTTTTAAACGCTCTCAAGGGGGCCTCACCGTGAGAGAGCCTGAAGCCACTCAGAGAGCTCAGGAATGACATATTCCAAGAGGGATGGGAATTTTGGACTCTGCTGCTGAAGGCAGGGCAGAAGATGCAGTACGTTTCCTCAAAGAGTGAAAAAAATACAACAAATACAACAAATAGGCACCTCTCATAGGCACCTATCAATGAAACACATACACATTTAGAGCATGGGGCTCGAGTCATCTATCATTTCTGCCTCTAATTAATCAGAAAAAATTCCACCCTGCTTTTCCTCGTTGGCACCGCACGGGCACACGCTCGCATGCACACGCAAAGAAACGTGGCGGGGCAGAGGGTCCCTGCGAGCCAGGAGCGCCGCACAGAGTCCCTGCTGCTCCTGTTTCTAGGTCACACTTTGGATGGGGGGCGAGGGGGGAAGCAGGGGGCACGGGGGGAGCGGGGCCTGGCGGGCGACCGCACCAGGGCGATCCAGGAGTTCACCTGCAAAGCAGGGCAGCGCGGATGCTCTGCGCCCGTGTTGGCCCACGAGGTGCTGGGCGCACGGTCCCAGCGGCGGTGGCGGCCGCTCCGAGCACCGCGAAGGGGCCCCGGTGTCCGGGGGGGTGGCGGCCGCGCCGCCGCGCTGTCGCCCGGGCCCGATGATGTCATTACAGCCACCGAGCAGCGGCTACTCGGGCTCCGTGCCCGCCCACGTGACCCCCGCGCCGTGGGGCCGGGACGGGCCCCCTGTTTGGGGGCAGCCGCCCCATCCGTGCGGGGTCGGGGGGTGGCTGGGTGCGCGGGGAGGCGGCGGCCGCGCGCCCGGCACACACCCCTTTCGCTACTACAAAGGCGGCTCCGCGAGCGCGTTTGCAGTAGTAGCAACGCGCGGGGACCTCCCTGCTCCCCCCTAAATCTTTTTGTGCCCCTGGTCCCCCCTGCCCGCGGCCGGAGCGGCCCCCGGCACCGCATGAATGAATGAAAGGATGAATGGAGGGGTGGCAAAGAGTCAGCGCGCCGGCCAGCAGCCTTATTGTTTCCCAGAGCATCCGCATTTCCGTAGCACGGGAGCGGATTCCACACATGCACACGGAGACGTTTTATGCACATGCGGATAAAGATGCCTGGGGACATCAGCGGCCCTAACAAAAGCGGGGGGAAGGGAAGAGGGGGATAGGAGGGAAAAAAGAAAAAAAAAAACGGAGAGGATATCGCCCTCGCCCCCAAATGTGGGTTATTTGACATACCCTGGAAACACCCCCGATGGGAACCCACCGCTATCAAACGCATTCGGTATTTTACATTTCATGCGGCTAAAGCATCTCTCTGTGCAGTACCCGGTTGCTATGCCAACGATGAAATTAAGGGCGGGGGGGTGGAAAGGAGACATCCATGACCCCTTCCCGGACAGACAGACACACGGACGCGATGCGGGGTGGGGGGACGGCTGCTTACCAAAGACGCCGATTTGATCGTGGCAAAGCGCTCGCGGTTCCGGTAGTGGAGGGCCTGATTCTGCACTGACTGGGTAGGCCGCACCTCAGGCCTGCGATCCCTGTGGCCCACCTCATCCCTTATAAATGCATGATCCTGCAGAAATGGATAAAAACAAGGAGAAAGTCCAGCTGTGCTCGTTCCTGGCCGGCTGCCGCTCTCTCGCCCCTCTTTCTGCACAAGCGGCGCTGTTTGAAATGCATAGTTCAGCTCTCGGCTAGCCCCTGCAGCTCCCACGGTACGAAATGAATAAGCAACACATTGCAGCCGGCGGCTCGCAGCGTCAGCTGATCGCTAGCGGGACGCCCGCTCCAGCCCCTGCCTCCTTTTTATTTATTTATTTATTTTTCTTTCCCTCCTCCTCTCTCTCAAACCGCCGGTATTACATATGTGCCACAAAGCCAGCTGGGGAGCGCGGAGCGGCGCGGCCGGGCTCCTCAGAGAGGTCGGGCGCCGCGGCGCAGCGATCCCGCCGGCGAGGCGGGTGCCATGGCGAGGCGGGAGGGCGCCGGTGCCTTCTGTCACAGCAGCGGTGGCGGCGGCAGCATCGCGCCTCGCTCCCTGGCGGCGGGGCCGCTCGGCCGCTATCTGCCACGCAGGGCGGCGGGCGGCGCGGCCGCGGCCATGGCAGGCGGCCCAGGTGGGAAAGGCTCTGAGCACTCAGGGGTGCTGCTGCCCGGGCAGGATCCCGCTCCCTTCTAGCACTTTCTCTCCACGGTCCACAAAGGATTTTTTTTTAAAATCTCCTTTTCCCTTCCCTTCCCTCCTCTCCGTTAAAGCAACAGCTCCCAGGTTTGCGGTGCGCAGCGGTCACCCCCGGCAGCTGCCCCACTTCGTCCCCGCACACCCATGGACGTGCCCCAGTGCAAAGGCCACCAAGATGGTGTTAGTGAAACGGCCCCAAACCAGCACGTGATCCTGTGCCCTTTCTGGAGGCAAAGCGAAGGCAGCGGCCGCGACCCGAGGGCCGCACCATGAGGCAGGTAGCGCTGCCAACACGTGCCCAGGGTGGGAGGCCTGCAGGGTGCGGGCGCCCAGGCCATGCTGCCCTGCCCGGGCAGTCGCCCATGCGGCCAGGAGCCCAAAGGTGCCCCGATCCCCTCGACTCCCTCCCTGCGCCGCCATCCGCCGCTACCTGCGCCTCCTGCCCTGCTTCCACACAAGCTCAAGTGCTTCCCGTATGGTTTGCAGGAAAAAAGAATGCTGCAGAAATCCTGGTACAAAGAACCATAGCATAGGTTGATTTTAAAATGCTTTAAACCAGGTATTTTTTCCTCACACCCTTTGTTTTGGGCCTCCATGTTCCTGCCTTTTCCTTGCCTTTGCAGGTGGATTCTTGGGAGGTAAATGCCATCCTGATGCTGTTTTATGGGGCTTCCATTGCTCCGGGGTGCCCAAAAAGCCCACAGAAGAATGCAACTGCCCATCAAGAAAGCAAATTAATTGCCTTGTGGTTTTCAAATTGAGGTGGGCAACACAGGGAAAAATCCCTTTGCAACTAAGCAAACTAGAGGACCAGGACAAGTCTGCCACCCATTTCAAGTGGACAAAAACCTCAGTGATTTTCCTCAGCGCCCCTGAGTCTGGGATCCGGGCTGCCGACAGACAGGCAGCTGTTATCAAGTCTCAAACGTGCCTGTAAAAACTAACATATTTTTCCAGAAAATCTGCCAGGCTACCAGAAATAAATGGTCTGATAACTCTCCATGTCAAGGGCAAGCAAGCTACTTTACCATGAAGACTGCTAGTGAACTAACAACTATAACAGAAATAAACCCAAGGGTCCTGTTTTACCCAAGTTCCTCAGATAACATCACTAACACCTCCTGAGACAATGTCCATCTACAAACTCAGAAAAACAATCCCAAAAGTATTTCTGCCCTTTTGGTCCATTTCTCTTCCCCAAAGAGAACTAGTGCTACTAGACACTGCAAAACCAGCTGTTTACAGATGTGGGCCCAATCAGGAAATTTAGTTTCAAACTTTTAGATCTGCGCTTCCAGGAAGGAAAGATGTGAAACCGACATCTCTGGGTGGTCAAGAAGTAAGATTTGGTCTTTGTATCTAAAGCACTCCTGAATTCCATGAAGTTTGGACCAGGGTTATCTCTCAGACCTAAATCTGCACTTAAAATTTTATGCTGTTTTTAAAGTAATGTATTTTCTATACATTTTTCTTTTTCCATCTATTTTCTGTCTTTACAGTAAAGATGTGACTTATGAACACAACTTTAGGCAGGTTCAGATTTCAGTTCATGTTAAGGCTTTAAAATACCTTTATTAAAGGTCAATAATCTGGTATCTTAAATTTCCCACTAAGGGAGGCATTTGGTCTTCTGACTGTATTATCTTCTACACAATCTGCTTTCATGTTAAACACATAGAAAAAAAGTATCTGGCATTATTATCAATGAAAATTTTGCTTCAAAACTTAGTGACAGCAAAATTGGGTGGCAAGATGCACAAACTGCATTTGCTATTTACTTTTTATTTTTTTTTTTTTAAATATTTTTAACACCAGAGGATTCACTAGCTGAAAAAGACCAATCTTGTAGACACATCAGAAAGGGAATCTCTGAGCCAGCTGTAGCAAGGACCTTTCAGGAACTGCAAAGCAGTGTATAATACTACAGTACATTACTAACTTCTAAGAATTTCAAGAAAGAAGATAACAATGTGCTATCAATCACTTTAAGACATTGCACTAAATGCCTCAATAATCTGCAGAGAGGCTTAAGTATCAAGAACAGTCCTGCTTTCAAGAAAAAGCTTTATGCCACTAGCCTACTATGCAAGAGGTCATGACAAACTTGTATCAGTGCCTGCATAAGCAGGCCAAGACAGCTCTCTCACTCATTACCTAAATAGCCTTTCTATCTCATTTAAAAGTACTTTTTTTCCCCAAATATGAATCATAAAAGAAACACCTTCAGCTTTGAACCACAGTTCAGGTACAACCTACATGCCAGAGAACTCTCCATCCACAGGAACCAGCCAAGATGCTGCATATTAAGCACAGCAATGAAAGGCAATATGTGTGTGTGGATTTATTTGATTTAATGGATTTGGAAAGTCTCTCAGGTTGCAACACTATTATAGAAGTACATTTTTATTACAAACATTAGGCAGAGTTTCTGATGCTCAACTCTCCTTTCACGTTTCTTGGTATAAACTGAATTCTAAGCGTAAGATTTCCTTGACAATTCTTTTATTTATTGACAGAATTTCATCTCTAAGTACTAATGACTTTAAGGTTGAAGTAAATTTAGCTGCAACAGCTCTGGATTGCAGTTGAACAAAATAATAGCATACTAACTTTTGGTTTAGATTAAAACAGAATAGCCTTTTTGCTATTATAAAATTTTATGGCAGTAAAACAGTATCCCAAGGAAGCACTCCAAGTCCTGCCATTTGGCATATTTTCCTGGGACAACAGAAAAATATCCTTTAGAAACCAACTGTACATCTACTAACACGCACCATCAGCTGAACAGATACACCACTGAGTAAGAATTTGGTAAACATCAGCATATCTTCCTCTTTAATTACTACTGAAATAGAGGATCTCAATTGCTCTTTGGCTGTGCTTTCGGATGGGAAGAATTACAACCAAAGAACACTATGTCTTAAGGTAAACGGGCACTGAGGATACAGGTGAACTTGCCAAGACCCTTAACTACACGGGGTTTTAGCACTGCACACTTCCTATGGCAATACCATTTATTCCTGCATATGAACTGCATGGGAACACTATTGCTTAGTTCAGTGTCAGCCTGTACTTGCACTGCTCCGAAATCCTGAACAGTGACAAACAGGGGCACTCTGCCTGTCCAAAATGGACAAATTTGTACAAGACTAGGCATCCCTAACATCTAGAACACCATAACACCTGGACACCTGCATCCTCAAAGAGGCAAAATTTCATCCTCACTTTAATATTAACTATTGCCTACATGGCTTTGCAGCATACATTGTGCTTGGAGTTCAACAGCTCCTTCTCTGAGTCTCCTTCTCTGGGGGTCTTCAAAACCTGCCTGGATGTCACCCTGTGCCCCATGCTCTGGGTGTCCCTGTGTTGGACTAGATGATCTCCAGAGGTCCCTTCCAACCTCGACCATTCTGTGATTCTGTGACTCTCGGGTGGGAAAGTAGTTATGTAAGATAGCCTAGAGACCTGGAGCTCTTGCACGACATAGCAAGGTGGGCAGCCTGCAACCTGCAAAGAGAAAGCCAAAGTTCCTCCAGGATCGCTCACTGAAACAGGCCCGAGATATCTGGGCCTCCTGTGATTATGGGATCCTCCTGAGGAAATAGATTTTGCCTTTAAAGAGGAATAAGACCCCAGGAAGGGAGGGTACAGGAACTGCTGCCTGAATAGCAGACCACAGTACTGTTCTTTTCTTCTAGGAGATTAGAAAACAGCTGTAAAAACTGAATTTATATACTTTTTTTTTTCCTCCTCCCTTTCTTGTCCCTTCTCTTTTCTGGTGCTTCTTCCTCTGGCACACAAGTTTTCCCTTGGTGAGCGGGAGTCACTTTAGCCCTAAACACAAGCCTAAGAACACGGGAATTTCCTGCTGCATCAAGGCTCAGATGTGGTAGAAAGGATGAGGATGTTGTCTCATCGTGACGTCTACTCACATGTGCTCTTCTGGACCAGGCAGATCCCAAGCACCTTGGCCACCAAAAACTAGTAACCCCAGTGAAAACACCCTAGGGTCAGGCCCTTTGTGCAGGTCGGGACCACAAAGCTGTCTAGCAGCTGTTAAAAAAACCTGTTGCTTACAAATGCTTGCACTATCCCAGCCTCTCCTTACGCGTCGCCTCTGATTCAGCAGTTAGTCACAGCCCAGATGCCTGATGCTGGCAGGGCTGCCCAAAGCTTCGGCCACTCGAGACCTGTGTGGACGGTGCCACGTGCTCCTGAGTGACACCGCGCGGCCGCGAGGCCACCCGGACCGGGTCCGCACACCGAGCGGCGACGGGACCTGGGGCTGCAGCGTCCCCGCCACCACAGCCTGGTCACCCAGACCCTGCACAAGGGCACGTGGCATTCAAGGGCCGTGAGCAACATCCAAAGGCCCGTGACATTCAGAGCTTTGAGTCTTGAAAAACAGGTTGGGCGATGAAGCCTCTGGATGTACCAGACTGGGTATTAAGCCATTTATGGAATACCATCATGTTGTATAAGGCTTTCATCTGACCCTTGCCAAAGTGCCCAGTGTCTGAACCTATGTCCACCGAGGGGAGACAGCTGGTTAATTATGTTCATCGGGATTTTCTTTTTAACCTTTAAAAAGGGTTTAAACGCAAAGCAAAAGCTTAACTTAAACTATGACCCTAAATTCTTTCATTTAGCTTGTGGCTGGATTCAGCATTTCCTGCCTCTCACCTGTTAGAGGGAAAACAAGTTGCTTGGATCACTTTAATCACAAAGCAAAGAAATACAGTTAAAGCAAACATATAAAGTGATTTCTTTCAGAATAAGAAACTTGATATGACCTTGAAAATAGAAAGGGATGTGTGTAAATTTATATAGACAGATAGGCAGATAATCTTCCTATTTCTAAATCCCATCTGGAGGTAACTCTCACCAACTGAGAAGGTATCTGCTCTGCTACAAGGAGCAGACATCTCAGTGTTAGCTGCTTTGTAAAGGCCAATGTAGACCTGCATCTTGTACTGCAAAATGCACCCTAGAAACACCTACTTTTAGTCATCTAGAGGCAAGTTTTTACAACATATCAGTAGCTCTTGAGCATCCAAAAACCCTAGTTCTACAAAACAAGCAAAATTTCCATGTGGTGACATGCTCACGCTTTTTGCGGAGTGCGTGTTTTACATACAGCGCAATCACCTGGTTGTGCAGGTATATCTTCCTTGCCTGTAAATAACAGTAAGTGGAGACAGAAAATATTTCTGTTCATAACTTAAACATGACCCTACACATTAAGTAGGAGTTATGGAGGTGTTTTTGGTTTGGTTTTAAGGGAGCCTAACTCAGTTAGACATCCATGTTAACTGAATTTCTTCATCTAAAGGAAAGAAACAGTTAATGCAGAAGTCTAACCAGACTGAATTCATAGCCTCAGACATCTTCTACATTTATATTTCATAGCAATTGCATGGCACTTCTAAAGTGAAATGTTATTCTTAAAATGAGCAAGAATACTACTTCCTTCACAAATGTAATTTATGCCTGGTGGAAATGGCTCATTTCCCCCCCCCACCATCGACTGTAATGACACTGATGAGTCAGTAATATTATAATGTATGATATTGTGTAAATCAATCCTTCAAACTCGTATTTTAAGGCATACATAAATATGACTACTTAGCAATGAGAAATTAAAATTAATACAAATTTCTGAAGCCTACACAAATTGAGAAATCTCTAACTATAATCAGACTGTACGTAAAACCAGTGGAGCAGTTATTCATTCAGGAAGGCTCCTTGGGCTGGCATGTTTTTTCAGAAAGATCTCTGAAGATGGTATTGCAAACAGATTTGATAGAGCTGTAACCCCCTGAAACCTATGCAGCAAATCTGTCAATACCTTTGCACACAGACATCAATCTTTTGCTAAAGACAAAAATTCTCTTCAGAGCTCCAGTCTGTAAATGCTGCAATACTCAATTACACAAATACTGTATTTCAGAGGAAAAAAAAAATGATTACCAATAGTTAAAAACAGGCTTTGCTGTAAGCCTGTAACCAAGAATTTCATTCTTCTGTTGTTGCTGTAATGTTTACAGCAGCAGAGAACATATATACAGTCTCTGGCAGAGAGTGTAGATACATTTTGAAGCTCTTTCCAAGCACAAACCCCAAAACGTAACCTACATTTTACTGCCCACTAGTCAACATCACTGCTTTCCCAAGCCAAAGTGACTCTGTTAAAACCATCTCATTTTAGATGGTGACTTAGGGCTAGGCCACATCAGATTAGTTGTGAGCACTAACAAAACCAAAAAGCAACAGATTGTTCACAAGATGCAGCAAGAGAGCAGAAATGCCTGGAGTGGCATCGAAACCTACCTTGCGGGAGGGCTCCAAAGTCCTGCACACTTCCAGTTCTCATGAGGGAAATCCAAGAGCAAGCAGGTTTTAATCACACCCTGTGACCGGCAAACGGGTAGCGGAGCTGCTGTGGCCGCTGGTGCCCACGTCGCACGGCCCAGTGCAACGACTCGCAGCGAAGCAAGGGTGCCCATTGCAAGCAGAGGTGAAGCGCGCATGCAGGGCTGGCGCAAGCAAGGCTGTGCACCTGCCTAGCCACGGACAGCACTGCTTTTCATGAGCACCCTCCTCTTCATTATTTTCAGAGATTACCTAAGTGCAGTCGAGCTGTTAAGCACAAACTGTGCCCCGGCAAGCCCGTCCCCTGCTCTCAGCGGGCGGCTCAGCTCCAGCACTCCGGGGCCCTACGCGGCCGAGGCAACGTGAGCAATAGCAGGGACTGCAGGAAGCTCTGGAGAGCACCAGGGAACATACCTTCTTATGGACAACGGAGGAAGTGGAATTAATGGTGCTCTCGTCACTATGCATCATGACCAGTTCAGGGCTGCTCTCATCCAGGACCTCCTGCATGCTGCTCACACTGCTGCTCTGACTGCCTGTGCTCACAGACATGCTCGGGATGGAATGGTTGCTGCCCAGACTGTCCATCTTCCTACTCAGGTTTGATCCATGCTCACTGTCCTATAAAACAAGGGGCATCAGTTACAAACACTGCAGGAGATGAACTGCCCACCATGTGTTCTGCAGTGTCCAAAGTTTCTTTTAAGGCTGTTTTGCTCTTTATTTTGGCATCTCCATTTCTTGGGGGTTATGAAATATTTTATATGGGGCACTTTTCACCTCTTCCCCTGCAACCTTCATACTTCAGCCTCTAAATAATTTTTTTTTTTCTCATAATAGTTAAGTCTGGGCACGAATGTTTAAGGCTTGAATTGGAAATATCCAGGAATATGGGGGATTGCTGGCGAGTGCTACACCTGAAGCAGGAGCAATCCTTCCTCTACTGCTGTACTAAAAACATTTTTTTCGAGTCAGAAACCTAATGTCATGAACGAGAGGAGATGCAAGACTGGTCCAAACTGTTTATGATTTTATAAGGATCTCATGTTCCTTAAGGGTGTTGGAGTTTTAAACTTCCATGTCCAAACATTTAACCATATTTGCCCCGGTCGTCATATTTTGTCAAGCTAAAACAAAGCAAATCAAAAACCCTTAACCTCGTACTGTCGATTAAGAGAAATTCTTATATAATCTTCATTCACCTTTAAACAGCTGACTCAACAGAGCCTGCATTGTTATAGTAATTCAAACTGTTGAAATCAGCCTGGATGTACCTAGATACATATTCCTCATCGAGGAAATTTTTTTCCATCCACAAATACCAGAAGGCAGCATCTCAGGTTTACCTGCTCGCATCCTTGCTTCAGTAATCCTACAGTACGAGCTTAATCTGAACAGACTTAAGAGATTTTACGAAGTCTGTTGCAATAAACTAATGGAATTGAAGATGCTTGCAAAGAGTTCTTAGGGAGGGCCAGACCCTCCCTAATATAATATTATTATTATATTATAACTGAAGGGAATACCCTTCAGTTGCTTGTCCGAAAGAGCCTTGCTTCACCAAAATGAAAGGCTTGCTTCTGTACCCAGCTTGCCCTGGCCTTCAAAGAGAGCTTGGCAGGAATTACATTACAAATCAATTACTAGGATATTGCTTTTGCTGAAAATTCAAATAAACTTGACAGATTTGTATTTGATTATGTGATTTATTTTCTTGAAAGCAATTAACAGATTATTCCGAGCCTGGGTAAGGGCACTTTTAAAGTCTAGAATACAAAAGAATACTATTTGATTGACAACATATGTACATGAGAAAGAAAAGATTTCCAGGATGCTTATATAAATTTGCAAGAAAAAATAACATAATGAAGCATTTGAGATGAATGGCTGTCATCAATGAATGTATATGCACAAAGGACAGAGATGAGATGGCATATGCAACCTTCACATTGACTTCCTGACTTCAATACTTTATGGATATCCTGAACTTTCTTGCATCAGCTTGGAGGAAAGCAGATGAGCAGTATTTTGAGTGTTAAAGATTCATAAAGCCCCTTTTCCACTTCTTAGCTTTTCAAAGGAATGGAAAGGAACGGGCTTGGGGCATTTGCAGCTGCCTGGTAAGATGTAACTGGAGCAGATGCTCTTTTCCCCCTGCTGCCACGTTAGTGATAGGTGAGCAATCCAACGGCCTCGCGGGGCGCGCGGCCTCGAGTGGCACAGCCGGTGCAGGGCATGCAGTGCACGTGCAGAGCGCGCGCTTCGTCAGAGGGTTAATTCACACAGGCAGAATTTCTTCATTTCTTCCCCCCCTCCTTTTTCTTAAATTAATTTATTATTTAGGGGTGGGGAGAAGGGGAACAGGAAAAAGATGCTTTTCGGTGTCAGCTATTGCCAAATCCATCCCATCCGGGCCGTTAAGCTCAGATCTGCTGAAGACTCGCTTGGGGAAGCGCCCCCTGCTCTGTCCTGTCCTCGTGTTCTCCTACCAGTTTGTCACACACAGGCAAAGCTGGAAATTTTCACTGTAAAGATGTGATTCATCCCCGCTTCTCCCCCATACACAGGGCTGATGTTTATGAGTAAACTAACAAGAGGATTAGACCTGAAGCACTTTTGTAACATTAATAGCACCAGTTGCTGTTCTTGCTGCCTTTATGTTTTTGTTTATATTTAAATCTTCCAATCAAAGGGCAGTTTTTGTTCTCCTCTCTGCATGTTCTTATGTCTAGTGCCAGACTTGCCTATTCTTTAGGCCAAAGCTCTAGTACAGCCTTAAAAGAGCATTGGCATACACAGGTCTCAGGACCAGATTTCCAAATACAAGCTGGGCTCTCATATTGCTCTTGGTTATTTTCTTGCTATAGTGCAGCAAGAAAAAGAATACAGACATAGCAAGAAAAAGAATATAGACATCAGTTTGCCTGAGAGCTTTTTTTTCCATTGAGAACCAGTCACAGATGTATTTATCCAGTGTGCCCGCACCAAGGGACATTAATTTCCATCTAATCTCATCAATTGAAAAATGACTGGTTTCCTTCTCTAAGCCACAGTCAGTGCCAATTATCATACACTGATTAAGTGGGCTGTTTGTTACAAGACTCAAATTGAAGCAGAAATTTACATCTTTAACGTGTTTTTTCTTCCCTCTTCAACATTATAGAAGTTTTAAAAAAGTCCTACTACTTTCGTGACTTGCTTTTCAGCAACTGATAGGCCAATTACTTTGTGATAGTTACAATAATCCAACAGACATTTATCAACTGATCTGGATTGTACTTCTGAGACTGAAGAGCTTGGATAGTCAACAGACCCTCGCTCACACAGGCTCTGAATGACTATTATCATTGCAGAGTCTTCCTTGAAATGAGTTTCCTCTCTGAAGTTCTCAGAAGGGCCACCATTTGGAAAACACAAAAGCCAAAGGAGCTTTTATTTTGCCAGCAAATGCACATCTCTCACTCTGAGTCACAGTTGCTGCCACTTGTTATGTTACCCTGTCTCTGCTGATCCACATGATAGCACAACAATTTCAACTGCATCTCCTATCCTACCATCCTGTAAACTCCCAGGCTGGGTTTATTTTGCCCCATTAAGGACAAAACCATCTTGTTTGCTCTAAAAATATTTAGAGAAGTACAAATGGAATGAGAAAATAACAGTACCTCCTCTTCTTCTTGAGACTCGGTCAGCGGGCCATTCCTCGTCTCCTGGAAGAGGATTTTCTTCATTTTCCGGTACTGAAGGTTATCCAGTTCTCGTACTGCATCTTTTGTCCTTTGTATGAGGTCTATTAGTACCCTTGGTGGTCGATCTCGGCGAACAAAATCGTGCTAATTCAAAGGGAATAAAGTACATGGTTTCACATAGGACACTAGTATGTTTGATAAAAAAATGAGCCTTTAGGAGACCCCTGAAATTACTGTTCATGTCAAACCTATATGCTTTATTTTTAAGGATTATTTGAATACCAATTCAAAGAATGCCACCCCAAGGAAACGTTAAGGCAGATGCACAAAAATGAAAACTCAAAAGGCTCCTACATAGTAAGACTACAATTCTGACTGCTTATTTATCGTTCTAGGTTCCATACATGAGATATAGGCACCGCTCTGCTAGGTTGTGTGCAACTTTAAGTAGTAATGTCTGAAAGGACTTAATCTATGTGTTTTGTTAATAATTTTAAGGAAGAAAAAATAAACAAAAAACCCATACAGGCTAGAAGGGTAGAAGAGGTTTATCGAGAGTCAGGTTTGTTGGAAGAGTAAATGCTAGAAGTCTTCTGGGAACGTCACGCAAACCTCAAATAATATAAAGTGTTTAAAACAAATTACTATTTCTTTTTACCATATAAGTGTGAATATTAGTGAGATGGGTACTGTCACTTTTGCTTTCCCCCTCTTAATTTCAACTGCATTTTCAACATGAGTGCAGTCTTCTGACAATTTTCATCTAGGACACTGAGTCAAACTGAATTAATTTTCAGGTACCCCATGTAAAATTCAGTTCCCTTTAAGCAAATGTGACCACCAAAAAATTCAGTCTCTCCTTGTTTACTGTGCACAAGCCCAAAAAGCTCAAAAGGCAAAAATGTAGGCTTGAATCCTATAACCTGCCAAGATTTAGGGAGACCTGCTGCAGGAGGGAACATCTGGGGGTACCGCTCAGAGGGGAAAAGCAGATTATAAGGCTAAATATCCATCAGCTGATAATGCCATCTCGGCTGCAATTGTTTATGCAGCCTCCAAGCGAAGGTACTCCAGAAATCACATCCCTCAATGAGCGTACACTGTTCCTAGAGAGCAGCAGGACTGCCAATCCACATGAATGAATCATTCGGCAGCCCACAACATAAACCTATTAGCTGGTCAAAGGCTTGTCAGGGTGCTGCGAGCAGGAGCGGAGAACAAAACGCTGGGTATGTGCCACAGCACAATGTAGCACAGGAGGAAAACACACACCGGGCGCCGAGGGTGAAAAACAAGCTCATTCATCAGCCTCTACCTGGAAAGTAAAGGCATTAGGGTTAAATATTCCGGATGGTCCAGGCTCAAAGGAAAGGCACGAGCGAGTGCAATGCTAACTATTCAGCGCGGAGGGCACGGTTTCGATTTCTCACTTCGGGAACCAAGACACGGAGAAACATCCATGAGAACGCGTTTCACTGAGCTGAAAGAGCAACAAGAGAAGCCATAAAACAAAGGCTGAATGGTAGCCTTAGAACAAAAATCAGCATCAAAAGGCTGCCAGGTAGGCACACAGCAGCCATCCAGCCTACTGTGGACATTAAGCAAAACACCCTATGGAGCTAGCAATTCCTCTGCTCAAATATTTAAGGAAAATCTGAGTCCTGTTTACCTGGTGTGGAACAGCAGCATGCCAGGCAAATTCTCACCAGCAGCTATGTACGGCAACCAGAGGAATAGCAGGGCCACTAATCAATTTTAAAGAAAGGAAATACTTAAGAGAAAAAAAATAAAAAGCCTGATGGAAAAGGGGCTGGACAGGATTTCACACATCGCTACCTCCTAAAGGATTCTGCTCTTGAATTTCCCCAAGACAAAGCCCTGGAGTCACAAACACAGCTCCTCTGCTCCCCAGGTAAACTGCAGCCAGGTGGCTTAAGAAACTGCACCTCCGATTTATGATTCATTGACAGGTAACATTGATAACCTGGGGATGCATCCCTGCCAGCACGGGTGTCCCCTCCTAGCTTGCTCAGAGCTGCTGTGAACTTGCACAAGGCACTTTCCAAAAGGACATGGTTATCCCCAAAAGACCTGCCAATTGACTGGACTTTGTAGAGAAACTCAGGAAGGGACAGAAACAGCAGCTGCCATTAAAAGGTGGTGGTCGGATTATGGGGAGAAGTTAACCTAGCCCTGTCCTTCAGTGCTCCTTGTAACTTTGAGTTCTGGGCTTGATGCATGAACGTAGAAAAAAATTAAATATAAAACTTACTTTAAAATGTTGATGAACAAAGAGCAACTGCTCAAAACCTAACACAAAGAAATGACTGGGAAATGGAGCTCAAAAATGCAGGTTAAAAATCAACATTGTGTAGCTAGTGAGAGAAACTGGGAAAAAAGTAATGACTGGAGACGAACACTAAAAAGCAGATGCAGAGTTCGCCTGAGAAGTAATGATTATTAGCAGAGTTCTACAGGTGGCACTAGTCACTAAATTGTCAAGGTTTCTGAGCAAAGCATCAGCCAAAAGCACGAAGCATCCAAATGCCAAGGATAAATACCCCTGCAGAGCTGCCCTGGCCCTTGCCGTGCCTGGGGCAGCACTTTGCATGGGCACGTTCGTCCCAAAACACCTGTCCAGCCAGGGGGACCTCCAAGGGAAAATAAAATAAAGACCAGAAATTCTCCAAGGAGTAATTTACAAAGACAGAGGAAAACTGAAGAGCTGAACTAAGAACAGACATAAAGATCAGAGAACAATATGTAAGGTGTGAACACATGAAGAATTAATGGTGTTGACAATACTGGAGAAATCTAAAGAAAATCTTCCTGAACTCCAACTGTGATGCATCAAAAAAAGAGAAGATTGGCCACTTCAGAATGTCCCAAGAACAACCGGATCTGGCCAAAGACCACCAGGATCTTCCAGCCTCTCCTCACCTCCAATTCCCATGTTTCCTGCAATAATCAGCCACTACCTACAAATCTTTCCAGAGCTCAATCCCCTGATCCTGTGCAATATAATTCTCAAAGTACTACCAGCTCTGCCAAGGTGCATGGGCTATAGCAAGTCTTTAGGAAGACTGGTTAAGTCTAGAGTTTGAGGAGCAATTAAAAGAGCTTTGCAGATTTTCTGTCACTTCCCTTGGGCAAATACTTTCAGTTGAACTATGTCCAGAGTTGCCTTGAAAAAAAAAATCAAGATTAAATCCCATTTTTCTTAGCCTGCAGACATGTTCTTCCTTCAGCTAAAAAACTCGCTACTAACACTGCTGTGTCATGAGGCTTCAAAGTTCTCAGATGTAAATGCATCATGTTATAAAGAGAATTATAACTGACAAAATTAGGAAATAAAGCTAAATAGCCATAAATTCTTCAGTACTTCAAGTAATGCGGCCAAAGCTTACAAACTTCAGGCTGAAGGCCACAGAAGTCTGCAGGAAACACAGAGCATGGCTGTTTCACTGTATCAGTCTTAGATGTTTGATGTGATATTTTAAAAAGGTGCATCAGGGAAAAAGGTAAGAAATTCTCTACCCTTGAGAAGAGACTGACATGCAGCCCTGCACAAAGGCCAAGCACGAGGCTTATGCAAATTTTTCATGGGGATTAATCTCAGTTGGGTCAAATAAACAGCGGTCGTTAAAATGCAGCCTTATTCCACGAGGTGCAAAGCTCATTCCAAATTCAAATTACAGCCAAGCAGTTCTGTGGCACCGAGTGACAACATGTATCTGAATACATTCATTCATTAATTCTGGTAAGATTTCAAAAGTTACTTTTAAAGACTCCCAAAATGATGCAGATGAGAAAACAAACTTTTTATTTATTTTTTTTTTCTGGAAAGGGCAGATATTTTCTGCACCTTCAAGAGAATTACTTTGGTTAGGTGAGCAGATTCTGTGCTTTCTATGAAAAATGTTCACCACTTCTGCAAGTCAGATTAGAAAAGTTCACACGTGCCAGCTGACAGAAGAGAAAAATGTATTTTTGAGAGGCTAATCCAGGAGGTCTCTCCCCTGCAGCAACTATGCTTAACTCTTTCCTACTGACATGCTGGAAAATAGATACCAAATCCTTTTCTACCACTACAGATTGTGCTAAGTAACTTCCTCTCTCCCCAATACAGCTTTGTGATGATAAAACTTAGCCTAAGTCCTCTTTTCCAAAATTTCTGAAAGAAATTTGAAAAATTACCCGCAATAGATCTGTTGATGATGGCCTTTCCTGAGGTATTTTCTGCAAGCAGTAATCAACAAATCCCCTAAAGGAGTCTGACCTGTAAATTAAAAAAAAAAAAAAAAATCTATATGACAAATAAGCTCATGGTGTGGAATGTTCACGGAAAACATTGGCATGCAGTGAAAGAAAAGCCTTGACTAATTTGTTCTCAAGTTCCAGGGCACAAACACTAAATGGATTTTTCCAAATTCTGAGCAAGTCTGTTCCACTGGTTCTTACAAGAGTTGAAGACTCATCAAAAACAACCACGGACAGACAATTATCACCAAAGTGAAATAAAACAAACAAAACCAATGTGTACCAGTCAACAAGATATTGTCAACCCTACTCCCACTAATTAAAATTAGATGACAGTTAAATTAAGAGTAACTCCAGAAGCATACTCATTAAACCTGACTCTCTGCTCACTAGAAACTTCACAGTGTTTGTAACAGTGACATTTGTAAAAGTAAAGTGCCTTGGCACACACACAGTTCAGAGAAACTTTAGGCTAGAGGAAAGGTTATCATAACAAAACAAAAGAAAAGAGGCCTTCTAGGTGCTCATGAAACTCAGAAGCAGCACACATAGCATAGCAAACAAATGGCTATAGCCAACCTGCTTGCAATCATGAACACTGATTATCCTGCGTTCACGGGCTGCTTATGCTCTGTGTTGCAAATTGGGTCCACGAAGCTGGGAATGGGCGTGCAGATAAGTGACCAAGTTCTTGGGCGTTTTGAAAAATGGGCAAAGCAGCCAGATGGTGGAATAAAGACAATAAAGTGGAGTGCTTTTCATAAAATGATTAGCAATGAAACAGTTAATGACAGTTACTTGGATGCCTAATTGTGTGTACCTGCGGGAACTTCACACCTCTCCAGGAGCTGCTGCTTCAAGCTGTCTGCAGACACTGAAATGCATCACTCTGGAGCTATGTTCTATTCTGGGGTAATGGGACCAGGAAGCAGGGTAATCCCTTGGATTCTGGACACAAGCTTGGAGCATGGAGAGCATTTGCCAGCCCCAGAGCTCAGACGACATTTGGAAATGCTTCCTTTAAAGTCGCTCACTGAACAAAATCTGATTATATCTATGTACATCTCTCCTGCCCTCCTCCGTATTTCAGCTGCACTGTAAAGCTAACAATACTTCTGTCAGGACCCTTGTGCAGCTGGAAACTTTGCTGATGCTGAGCTAGGCTGGCTTAATGCATCCAAGAACATTTTAATTCCTACAGCGTCTACAGGCCCATAATTAACACCTCCACACATTTAGATTGTAGCACAGCCAAAGTGACAGAAGGTCAAAAATGAGCCTGCCTACATGGGAGCATTAATCAAGATCACACAAGCGAAATCACTGCCCTGCAACAAACACTTTTCTTGTCAGATTTTAACTATGCAAGGAGTGTCATAAAAGGATTTCCAGAGAAACAAAACAAAACAAAAAAACTGGTAATAGCTCTCTTACCATTCATTTGACTGTAACGTAGGGGAATCATTCTGGGCTATGTGATATAAGGCACTCATTGCATTCATGTTGAAAAGTGGAGGCTTCCTTTCAGCTAGGAAGAGAAGAGAAAGGAATGATAAGGCAGGCTGGAAGAACGGGAGAAAAGGTACGAGGAACAAGCAGGGTATCACTGTTAAATGAACGGCTCATTATTGTCGTCATCACATCTAAGCCAATTATTTTAATCCTCTAGGTTAGTTCAGGACAGCCACCCAATGAAAGCTGTTATTCACCTGAGGGGGGGATGATGAGATCCAGAGAGAACAGGATGCTAATTATGAAGAAAAGTTTCCAGTAAATTTTACATTAACTCCCCTGCTTTATATCTGACTGGCTATGGTAAATTCAGCAGAAGCTGACTGCAGCAGAGCTCAGACACACACTGTGTCAGGGCCGGGAAATTTATGCATCAGTCCCTGAAGATCCTTGATGTGCTGACATGGCACCTGTACTTAAGGAGAAAGAGGGGCTGCTTGTTGCATCTGTCAAAGACTTTGTTGCATTGGCAAAGACCTGCAGAATGGGGCAGGTGGTATCCCTTGCTGCATACGCCTTCAACTCCCCATAACAAAAGCTCTTCCTAGTTCTTGTGCTTCTGAGAGGGCACCTACCTGCCAGCCCCTGAGCTTGCAGGGCTGCAGTACCACAAAAGGTCATTTTTTCACCTCCACTCTAAGACCCATCATGTCAATCAATCCATGAAGTCAGAATTAAGTTCATGTCAGGTCAGAGCAACCACTTGTGCTTGCCATGCAGCATGCATACAAACCACAGCATCTTTTCCTAGGCACTTGCAGCTACATGAGAAATTAAGACATCAGCATTCAAAGAAAGCCAAGCGGTGCTCATCGAGAGGGATCTTCCCACTGCTACCCTGATCCCATATGTTCAGATGTGGAATCATGCAAGGACAAAGCTCAAAGTTAAATAAAAAGTACAGTACTTGTCAAGTTCATAACATAGGGGAAAAAAAAACAAGAACAAACCCTCCAACTTCAGCTATGCTACTTTGATGTTGTTGAATGAAAAGCTCCATGGAAGGTCTAATATTAAGATTCAATGACTATGCAGCGTAGCATAATGCCTACTCTACCATTGTGATTTACTCCTCGAGAAGCCAGATAACTTGCCTAAATTCTACATAAAAATCAGCTGTCAGGCTGAAGAATAGAGTCTTGAACTGCTGATTTTGCATTCTTTATATCAAAATACAGACCGTGTCAGCAGTGCATTAGCATTGGCACATGAAACGCAGTACTGGAAGGGAGCAGTCATCCAAGCAAGAAAGAAATGATTATTGTCTCCATGTTGGGGTTGACCTTTTCTCCCATTCCTCCTTCCTAACCCATTTTACTGCTGCTGGCTAAACATATTCAGAAATAACCTTTTTCTCTGAACTTGCCCTCACAATGAATTTCTGTTGCACTGCTTTTAGGCATAATCCATACCAAGACTATTTGTAAGATATCTGCTCAGCACATGCAATGTCAATATTCAAACTGGAAGCGCAAACAGCTGCTCTGTATACCTGCTATCACATCTACATCTGCTTCAGGTAGTGTGGATGAGCATCATTTGCCCTTCTCAGTGCAAACCCTTTTCTTCTCACGTAAAGAACCTGTCCACGACGATTCACGTCACAAACTTTCAGCTGAGGTTGAAGATTTTTGTTTGTTTCAGAGAGTTGGGAAGAAGAATTGAAAATTAAACGTATGTCCTTTCTAACACACAGCTTTTTAGGACACTGATTCCCTTGGTGCAGCAGCTGTTCCAATAAAGTTTTCTCAAAACCCAGCTTGTAAAAAGTGCAGAATACAGACAGCTGCTCTTCCTTTCTGGGAGGAAACATGGAAGTAGCAGCATTATTTTCTAGAGTAGAAGCAGGGTGGGGAACAAACCATATAATGCAAAAAGAGACATCTCCTAGTCTCAATTTGAAATACTAGGGACAAAGTATGTCCATTTTGTAGAGGATTTCTGCAGTTTTGCTTATGATTGACCCTACATCCAATATTGCAGGTGAGCTGGCATTAGCCCCTCTCATACCAAACTTTTTTGCCTGAACTCATTCCACACCTTCCCTTATCAGCACTTCAGCACTGAATGAGCTGAAGTACCCTCGGTCTCCCACCTGTGATGGACTTGTTTGCCAATCACAGATCACAACGTGCTTCTTAAAATCAACTCTACCTTCAAGAATATGCTCAGGACGTGAGAAATAATTCAAGCCAGATTCAGGTATGAAATTCCAACAGCTACATGGGCACAGACAGTGCTTAGCTCTATAAAGGTCCCAATAAAAATATTTGTCGCACAGGAAGCTCAGTCTCCACAGGCATAAAGGTCCTGCTTCTCAAGTCTAGCATAAGTACTGCCAATACAAGCATTAATTTGGAATCTAAACAACAAATCCAGGCTATTCTATTGGGGGGGTTCAATCTGCTGAACAGGACTGCAAAATGTAGCCTCTCTCTTTCCAGGGGACCTTTTATCCAGAGGAGCCAAAATACGTTAACTGGCAGCTTCAGTACATCCTGTTCTGCAAGTGAGCAAAGAACTGCCCAGAACGAAACCTTATGAGACTACAGCCTTTCAGGTGCTAAAGAAATAACTGAGCACACTAGAGGAGTATTAGGTAAAACAGCGTTAATGGACTGTCTTCATTTGCCAATGAGGAAAAGATTTTGAGTCAACTGTCAAGTGTTTTCCAAATCATAGTTTCAGCAGCATGCTACAAGCAGCAAGATGCTTTTCATTGTTTTTCAGGGCTAATAAATTCAGCAAATAGCTAATTATTCACCTTAGCTGCCGAGTCCGTACTCACCTAGCTCAATACACGTGATCCCAAGAGACCAGACATCCACCTTCCCATCATACTGTCCTTCGTCCATAGCGAGGATCACCTCTGGTGCCATCCTACCAACCACAGTGGAAAGCACGCGGGTTAGGGGGGACGCACCGGAATCCCAGCACGGAGCTTAAAACAAGGTCGGCTTCATCTTCAGCAGCGCGGGGGACTGAACTTAAAAGAGCCAGCATGGAGCCAAGTAGAGCCATGCTGAAATAAAACAGTGCTTGCCTGCACTAGCAATTCTTCCAAGAGACATCTTAAAGAAAAATAAGAGGCCAACCTGTTCCTCTTGTTGTTAGCACAACGTGCTGGCATGTGGGAGACCCACACCAATCTCAAAGGCATTGCCTGCAGGCAGTCAACAGGAGCTGGGGGAGTCCTAGAGGCATCATTTCTACTCTCCCCAGAGATGGTGGGTTTCCAGTGGCACACCAGGAGAATTTTCCAGCAGGTATGTGAGGGCAGCTACGAGAGGAACAGGGAAATCTGGAGCAGTGGGGAAAATACAGCAGTCCAAGATTGAGGGATGAGCAAGGAGGAGAAAAAAAAAGAAAAAGGAAAAAAATAAAAAGAAAAAAGAAAAAGGAAAAAAATAAAAAGAAAAAAGAAAAAGGAAAAAAAGAAAAAGAAAAAAGAAAAAGGAAAAAAGGAAAAAAAAGCGCAGCAGACCCGCCTGCAAAAATTCAGCCTCTTAACTTTTGGTTCTTCAAAGATGGAGCAGGCTTCCTGCCAAATGCTGTTCAGAGGTTGGGTGATAGGCGACCTCCCATCAACGCCTGGGGCGTCTGCCACAAAATAAATGGAGTGTAAAGCTATGCTGGGCACTATGTTAGGAATGCCAAGCAACAGAGTTTCTTCAAAACAAAACCTAAGTATAGCTTCCAGTCTGCAAAACCAATTAACAAGTTTCCCCTTCTCCAAGGGCTTGCCCAAGTTTCAATATCTATGACACACATCAATAATTTTTTAATGTTATAACGGTCAAAACATTTACTGGTGCCATTTTAAATTGCTGCCAAGCCTACCTCTACTCACAGGCACTGGGGAAGAGTTAGACATGGAAATTTTCCAAAACCACTTGGCTAAGTAGTAAGATATTTTTTTAAATGATAGATATTATTTTCAGTTTGTGAAATACTGCAAATGAGAGAGAACAGTTTTGTCTAGGATTGAAGTATCCTATGTTTTACTTACCAGTAAGGTGTCCCCACGAAAGAATTGGCAGGGCAGACTATAGAGGCAGACCCAAAATCAGCTAGTTTCACTTGACCTGGTTCTGTTAGAAGAATATTTCCAGCTTTAATATCCCTTTAAAAGAAAAGGCATTTCTGGTCACAACAGAAGAACTTTCAAAATATACAGACACACAGGAAATCACTAACTCGTCTCAAGCATTCAAGAAAAAAATCACAACTTTTAGAAATCTATGTCTCGGTCTATTAGACAGACCAAGTATATAACTCGACTGAGGATGGAAACCCAAGTGGTCTCAAAGAAGGGAGGAAGAAGGAAATGCGTCTCTACGATTTAGATGTCTACCCAAATCTGACACCTTAAATAATATCAGACATCTCATTTTCACCACGGAAATGCCTTGGGCTCCCTTAGCTTATTCTTCATACAACTCTCAGATAATTCATACGTTTAAGAGATTAATGATAATGAGACCACTACAACATGAAAGGCACAATATACATCCAGCACCTGTGAACCGTAAATTCTGAATTCCAGCCAGAAGTGAGTTAAATTCAAATTAACTGCCCGTGAAATGCTGACAAAGGTTAAACCAATTACATATATTTTGAGGCACTTAGTAAAGGGCCTATTCACAGTTAGAAACGAATTTATCTAAGCACCATTTACCTTTAATCCCCTGGGCTTCTGCAGGTTTGTCTAACCGAAATATCTTATTTTCTTCCATCCTTTCTAACATGAAAACAGAGGAGCTGCTTTCAGAAATTCAATCTACTTGCATATTGTCCCCTGGAAGTCACCATCTAGTCATGTTCCCTAGAATCCTGAGACAGCACTTTGATAACAAAGGGAAAATAGTATCCTAGGGATGCCAAGGATGCCTCTGCATGACAGCACCTTGGAGATTTGGTTGTGCAAAAGGAGACCTTCACTGTAAATGGTAGGTGGGCAATGGATCTCTGCTTAGTGAGGCTGTTAACACCATACAAGTTATAATGCCTTTGCATTAAAAAAGATGTATTTGTTTACATATACATTAAAAATAGGTAAATGTGTATATATACACACACATGCATGTAGAGATATTTATACAGAGAAGGAAAAAGAGACAGGAGAAAAGAATATATTACGGAAAAAATAGCTTTTAAAATGTGATGATCAAATGTAAGTCCAACATCAAAAATCTCTTATCAATAGTAAGACACCTTCAACACAAACAAGCTACTGGGCATTACCAAACACACTCTGATCCTGTGAAAAACGGGAGGGGGGGAAAAAGTATCTTGTGTTTCACAGAATCACAGAATATTTGAGGTTGGAAGGGACCTCTCGAGATCATCTAGTCCAACCTTCCTGCTCCAGCAGGGACATGCAGAGCATGTGGCACCCGGTGGCATCCAGGCGGGTTTTGAAGACCTCCAGAGAAGGAGCCTCCCCAGCCTCCCTGGGCAGCCTGCTCCATGGCTCTGTCACCCTCACAGCAAAGAAGTTCTTCCTCACATGCACATGGAGCTGCCTGTGCTTCAACTCATACCCATTACCCCTTGTCCTGTCACTGGCCACCACTGAGAAGAGCTTGGCCCCTTCCTCCCTACGTTCCCCCTTCATGAACTTACACATGTTAATCAGATCCCCTCTCAATCTTCGCTTCTCCAGAAAAAACAGGCCCAATTCACTCAGTCTCTCCTCATACGAGAGATGTTCCAGTCCCTTAATTATCTTTGTTGCCCTCCGCTGGACCCTCTCTAGAAGCTCCATGAATCACATATTACGAAATACATTGAATTACTGTATAGGAGTGGAAACATTATAATTTGTGCATCCTGATGCAGTGTCACTGCAGACCCAGAGGGTCAGGCAAACAAAGTCTCTCCAAATTCAGCATGAAGCTGGTGAGACACCTCTGGCTCCAACGGGCAGCACAGAATACGCAAAGCTGGGACAGTCAGAGCCACAGAGACAGGAATCACAATATTTCAGCAGCAGTGCTGGAGCCAGAACCTCTGTTCCTTCATTCCCACGACACTATGGCTTCAAAGCCAACATTATAGTAACTTCCCAGAGAATTTTTGCACACACATAGTGCTCTGAAACAAGCCCAATGGAGCTTGATGGGTTTGATCTGTGTGCCTGATACTTCTGCAGGAAGAGAAGTTCCAGACAATGCCCCATACGTGCAAGAACGAGCACCTCAAACACAGGCTGTCATCTTCATGCTCGTCTCCAGCGCTGTCCTCACTTCACAGCAGCCACCCAGGGCTCAGCAGGCACTCCTGGAGCTAACACAGCCCCACAGGAAAGGCCTGCGCCCAGGGAGAGAGGCGCTGCCCCAAGCGCTGCAGATGCTGAACACGTTACAGCCACACCTGCAAAACCCTCAGTGCCAAGCAGATATATTTGCAAGCTCCAGCTGATCTCACACTGCAATTTAGCAGGAGACAACCTCATTCCGCACTATCCATCCTATGTGGAGCACAGGATTCAAGACCGGCCTTGCTTTTTCCTGCATCTCCACAAGATGGCCCTCTGTTCTAGGTCACCCTCTTTTGGCTTCGCTCCCTGCAGGGCTGGGACACCAAAGCCCTCCCAGCTGCCAGCTTGGGTCCTTTTTTTTTTTCTCCCCCTCCCCCCCCCCCCCATCCATCTATTTTCCCAAGAGCAGGTGAAACTCTGAGGGAAATACCTCAGAAAAGGTATTTTTCTGCTGTGTTAAGAGCAAATATATAAGGGGTCAATCTTAAATCACTCTGATTGAATTTAATTGGCATTCTGGTTTGAATTAATATTTTACATAAATCTCCTTTAATACCTTTGTGTAGATATGCTCTAAGAGGTGATTTTAACAAGTGACAAATAATTCCTGTCTCTGGAAAAAACACCTCACTGTCTCAGCCTCAAATAGACCAATTTTCTGCCTAAAGCCTGCCAGCAGACTACAAAGAAGCTTTTAGTCCTATAAATTAGTCTCACACTGCCTCTTTTTAATGAGTCCTCACATATATTATACGCATCTATCGCTCACCCTTCTCACAGCAAGTCCTTGACATAAAATTCCAATAGTCCTCCAAAAAACAGCAAAAATAAAAAATAAAAAAATACAAAAGATTAAATTTTATTGTTCGCTACCAGCATTCAAAGAGAAAAATCGCTCCATGTCAGAGATCTCTGCACTGGACTGTCCTCCCACTAAATTATTTCAGCCAAAGGAAAGTGTGCCCTAAGAGGTGACACTTTTCATTTATAAATGCACACTGGCATCGGGAGCCAGGTGCCAGTGGCACGGGCAGCCTTACCGGTGAATCTTGGAGTGAGAGTGCAGGTAGGCCAGCCCCTGCAAGGCACCGTGAGTAATGGCAGCAATCTCCACTTCCTGAAGTGGCTTCTTGTGAACTAAGCGGGAAAAATTATGAAGAAAAGGCAAAAGAGGGTTAGGGCGATCTCTCCCAGAGCAAACTTTTTACTTTTTATTTTCAGAAAAGAAAAGGAACCCCCGACTTTGTGAGCCACTAGATGAATGCTGTCCCTGGCATCCTAATTCCCTGCGACCTGGTGGCCATTGGCAGCTTAAAGACACATTTGGGCACGTATTTCATGTCATCTATAAGCACTTTTTCCCCCCTCCTCTTTCTCTCTCATGTGAAGTACTGAGAAGACCAGTTACTTACTGGAAACACAAGAGAGATTTTTGAGTAGAGCTTGCCAAATATACACGAACCTCTTGTTTAGTGTTTCGAAGCACACACCACAGACTCCTAAATATGACCAGCATTTGCCTTTGGCTCATGTATCATAGATACTAAAGACACAGCCCATGAGGAGCATCAGTTTTAACAAACTATAGCTGGGATTCCTTATTCCTCTACAGACCCTATGGTTGCGGTTTTGAGGTCACATTAGTCTCCTGTTTCATAAAACCATCTGTAATTATTCATATAAACTGCCAGACAAGGACAGGAACGGTCTTTCTGGATTCTTATCATGGATATCCAGATAACAGGCAATCTGTTTCAGACATCAGGGATGTGCAAACTACAGGAACATAGTTGTATTCCTTTATACCTTCATTATAGGACAAAAATGTGCATGCCAAGTGCACGCAGCAGTGGCCTCCTGCGATAGCCACAGCCTGCCCTTCATACCACAAACAGAGACAGAATGAAGAAGCACAGAGTGCCCCTTCCATTTGCAAAATACCAGTCTCAGGGAAAACACACTCCCAGCACACTTCAAGGGGGCACTAGTAGAAATAAAACGAAATACTATGTAAAAACTTACCCTCTAGCAAATCAGAGGCTGAACCTAAACAGTATTCCATAACCAACTGCAAGAAAAAAAAAGTAAAAGAAAAAAATGTGTTAAATAATACGGTAGATACTCTCCCACAAACAATTATTATTTAGGTGTCTGAGAAACAGTAGAAAAAATAAAGCTGCAAGTATAAAAAGCGACAAATGACAAAATGCTCTGATAAGCTGCAGCAATATCATGACATTTCACATTCCGCAAAGAAAGCTGGGGCACTGGGAAGTCTATGAGGAGATGCAGTAAAGGATGCCCAATAATAAGGCCAGCAGGTTTGCTTAATCTGCACGAAGATTATGAAACTGCCTCAGAAGCAAGTTTTTCTTCCAATGCCCCAAATTTCCATTCTGTTTAAGTTGCTTGGAAATATCCTCAAATGAAAGGAACTACAAGCAGCATGGGGTGAATACTGCTGCACCTAAAGGCACCATGTACATATTGAATATTTGGTTATTTTGCTGTATGTGTTGTGTTCAGGAAGACCCTACGTGTCAGGCCACGCTCACTCACCCATGCCGTATGCTCTTTCAGGTAACATCCCTTATATTCTATAGTGTTGGGGTGCTTCAGCTGTTGCAGAAACTTGACTTCTTTGATGATATCCTGCCATTTCTATTGAAGAAAACAGAAGATATGAATCATTTATGAGTTTAATCCTTTCGTGATCTCATACCCCACATCTGAAAAAGTGACCTTAAGGCAGTTTTACAACTGGAGGACCAGAGGGGAGCAGTATGTTCCACCCTTTTCACTTTCCACATTAATAATGCCTTACCTCGTTCGTTTGCTTCCCACTGTAGGACATTTTCTTGACTGCCACCACCTCATTAGTGTGGGAATTTGTAGCCTGGAGAAAAAAAAGAAATTGAAGGAAAAATAAGTCTTTTTTTTTTTTTCCTTCTTCTTCCTCCTGTCACTGTGGAGTCAACTGTGCCTTTGGCAAACACAGATGTCTTGTCCTGTGTCACACCTGGCAAACTCCTGTGCTGCAGGACGTCTCCTTCATGATAAGGTTTACCAGTCATGACCACCCTCCTTAACTTCATCTATGTGTGCAAATCCCCTGACCCCCTCAGTCCTTGCTTCACTCGTTACCTCTTTGCCGAGGCACAAACCAAAGTCACAACCTGGGAGAACACACAAAACACAGGTTTACTGGAACCGCAGTAAAAGCAGTTTTAGATAGACCTTGGGAAAAACATTAGCCCAGGAAACAGAGAGATGTATGAAAATCTGCACTTTCATCCCAAAACAAAGCACTGATATCCTCAAGCAACTATTTCTGTTTTCAACTTCAAGATGGCTCTTTGTTTTGGAATTTAGCTCCATTTAAAAAATAACCTTCCTCTCACTGCACATCCTTTCATTTTAAAATAATGTCATCTTTTGGGGGGTTTTGCATAGCAAAGGGGGAAATTATTTTACAATCACAAAAAGAAAAACCCAGCCAGTGTAAGTTCTGTTTGACCCAACAAATGAAAACAAATTTAAGTTGTAGACACAATTACAATGAAGACTGTCATCAGGACCATAAAGGACTACACAACAATCTGGCAAAGCGAAATGTCCTTTGGGTATCCACCTCAGGAGATCAAAAGGACAAATTTCATCTAAAATTTTGGTGAAAGTTTTTCATCATATTTATCACGGAGAAATTTAAATTTCTAAATATTCCAGTGGACTTACTAATCTGCACTAATATGCTTAAAACACTGTGTCGAGCTAACCAAATACACATGCAAGGGCTCCAGCACGACAGCGAAGGCATTTGCACCTTGAAAAATTCTTCCTTTCCCTCAAAACCAAACTCCCTGGTTGGTGTTAAGACAAAGGCTGCATCAAGATTTTAGTTGCATTATATCTAGTTTTGGTTCCAAAAAAAGTGTAAGATGAGATAGATGCGCCACGGCTGCCTTGGTGCACTTGCATTCAACATCAGACTGCCCTCAAATGATTATTCTTCACAGGCTGATGGAGCTCCTTTTCTGCTGTGCAAGCAAGGTAGGTTTTTGCGACTTAGCTACAGCTCAAGGCAACCTCCCGTTGGTGAAGAATTGACCACCAGAGAGTTTTCCAGAGCTACTACAAAGGAATGGCTTTGAAATAGCAAATGGAGTAAGTGTAATCCACTTCTCTTCGGAAATTGGGTCACCTAATGTAGGCAATCTGTATCTAGTTGTTCTCTTGACTGTCAGCAGCTAAACACACGCTATTGCTCTTTATCTACAGGCAAAATATTAAATCCAAACCTCAATTGTGGAAACAAATTTAAAGGCAGACTGCAAAAATCTCAGGACATTTGGATTTTCCACAAAGATTGCCAGCCCCCAAACGCCACCTATGTTGATGCAAAAACGCACATCTTCCAACAAATCCTTTGGAGAGCTGATAACCAACTCATGCAGTTCAACAAGCCGATGGATTTGCTGTGAATCTGGAGCAGTTACAAGGCTGCCTCCAGCCTGCTCATCAGAAAGCAGTGCCTACTGAAAAGCCTTTCTTCCTGCAGAAGCGACCAGCAAAGCCACGTCTTGCACAAGCCTACACCCGCAGCAAGACCTGAGGTTTATTTTCACACTGCTCACTTCTTTTCTGTCACTGATATGTAATGCTCAGCTCTTATTTTTGCTTTCTTCACTGAAGAGCTGAGCTTCAAGCTGCAAATTAACCCTTGCAGAGAGTGTGGGTACTACACTTGAGTAATAATGCATTAATCAAAGATATTTTGTGACGCTCACATTGACTTCAGTGGTGCAGGGTGAACCAGAAAACTACTGCCCTTAACAGAAGCTGATATTCATCTGCTTAGCAAAAGCCTGACACCAGAAAAGGTGAAAATCACAACCTGCTCTTCTCAGGGTAACCTTCAAATAAATTACAGAAAGTGGGAAAACAAATTGCTTTTGGAGAAGACAAAACCCTTCCTTACCACTCATCACTCCAAGCCAGCACCTAAAATGGGAATGTCAACAGGAGAGTTAATGCTGGTGTCCTGAACAATCCTCCAAGGATTTCTGTCTCTCGCAGTCACTCTGGATGCCTTCACGGCAGCCTAAGAAGCTCTCCCGTTTCTGCTCGTCAAACCTCCATTATTCACCCCGTTCTCATTTGCTTTATCACTCTTCCATTCAGAGCCCAAGTCTAACGAGCTTATTATTATTTCTGATGAAGCTATGCTTTTGAAATCAACTACAAATTTTACCTAGTCAGCATTTAGTTTCAAAACTTTGTAACAAGCAACAAACTTCTCAGCCTTCGGATATGCAAAGCAGCATTTCTTTCTGCCCGGAAAAGAAATCTGACATTATTTATCTTGCCACGCATGGGCAATACGCACGCAAACAAAGCCGCTTGCAAAACTAAGCCTGCATTTAAGTTTATAGTAGAACATTGTAGTAGTTCACCCCACTAAAACCAACCACCACAAAAGCAGAGAAGCAGGGAAAGAACAGAAGACTGTTCTTGGGGTCAGTTAGCAGAGAAAAGAGCAAGGCGCTAAGCACGTAGCCATCTTCCCAGCACCTAGGCTTTGACTCTGAAAAGGATAAGAACATGTCCCAAGTGGACACCAAAATCACCTGAACGTCCTGAGAGCTACAACCCCCAACTCCTCCACTGTTTTTAATGGGATTCTTCCCACGTTCTGGATGGCCATCATGTACCAGCTGGAGACACAACCTTTCACCACCACTGCTGCTGCTCCTTTTGCTTTAAAGGTGGATGTTCTTTCCACAGCTGTCTCAGGTTTTGTGAGTAGCCCCGAGGTTTAAACTGGAGGACATTCATCCTACAGGCTTCATATTTATGTTTATCACATTTCTTTAAATCTCACTTCTGATATTTCCCTTGGAACACTGAGCTTAAGCACAGCAGGGGGACCACCACCACACAGCAAGAAAGCCAATTTCTCTTTCAAGATTGACATCTGCTGTGAAGTCCAAACACGTACTTCAGAGTGCCCTGAAAGCCAATGCACTTCAGGGAAAACAAGTAAAAAATAAAAAACTTGGCTCATTAGCTGATAATGATTTGGCTCAGAAATTTCAGTAAGGAAAACTCACACAAATATTACTCCCTTCAATTTTCTGATGGGAAAAAGGTCCCACAGATGTCTCTTTACAAAACAGACCATCTCTAGAAATATTATCACTTATAAGTGATGGGAGATGGAGGGGGGACCTGCCACTTAGGCAGCCCTGCTCCTTTCACGGTTTTTGATGCATTGCTCCATTCTCGATGCCAAGCATGTCCAGATGCCCACAAATCCTGCAATGACCGAGATGTGATCTGTGTCCCTTCCCTCACTCCAAGATGCTCTGGGGTCAAGATGCAAGAAGGGCTACCGAAGCTTTTAAAAAGGAGGGAAAACAAACCCTAGACACATGGCAATCCACGTGTAGCAGGGAAAAGCTCTAACATCAGCAATGTGACAGAAGCAGAGACTTCCTGAGGCCTGGGCTGTTGTGCAGCCACAACTACACAGGAGTTAAATGAATTCCCATTGGTGCCTTACGAGGACTCCAAAAGACAATTTTCTGTGTGTTATGAGCTTCATACACAGAAAGCAGAGCTTGAGTTTAAAACAGTGGCAGAAAAATGGGAGACATACAATGGAAAAGTAAAGATTTCAGTTTATATATTCCAGAATTATACCTTAAACTCACAACACCCCCCACATATATTGCTTATCTGAAATAAAAATAGAGTCCTCTATTTTAAGAGCAGTTCCACGAACATTTCCCTCACTGCGTAACACTGTATAAAAACAGTGAATTGGAACAGAGTGCCTGTAAATAATTCATGCTGGCTACGACCATCTTCCACTGTCACAGATGTAAGGCTGCATATCTAAACTCTGCCAAGTCTGATATTCAGAAATCTAAATTCTATTGAACTTGACCTTCTATTGATCATCACACAACCTCCTTTCCCATGGAACTCTCATTTCTCCTAAGATTTTCTCCTTCTTTTTGCCTGCAAGCAGTTGCTGTTGAAGACGGTACGTATGTGATGACAAAGCAGAATGACATTTAAAAGACGTCTAACTCAAAGCTACTCAAAGACCTGAAGGCAGTTTTGATACGACTTCTACAGTATCTTTACTCAAGCAAACACAATGCCAATTCATTAACAAAAGTGGCTTTTAATGCCTATTTTGAATGTTAATTCACTGGATCTATTAATTTGCAACAATTTAGAAGGATATGAGCACCAAGCAGAATATCTTGAAATTCCCGTTCAACAAATTATTTTCCAACTGCTTAAATTCAACTTTCAGCATCTGAAAGGTTGCATGTACTCTTCAGACTGCAATATCAGCTGCTACAATATACACTAGCTGTAACATTAACGAGCTCCACAGTGCTCATATATTTTTAGATATCCTAACACATAAAAAGTACTAAGAGCTAGAAGGACATTCACTTTTGTAAGTGCCAAACGTTTATAAAATACCACTGAAAATAATTTGGTTTTCCGAAATGTTAAGCACTATACTTACAAAGTAAACTGCTCCAAAGCTTCCATGGCCGATTTCATGTAAACCCACAAATATTTCTTCAGGATCATCTTTGTAGAACAGGTCAGCTATTTCTGGGTCCTTTGGCACCCCTTTGCGCATGTTGAACAGTTTTAGGAACTAGGTCGCGCTTTCGATTCCCAATCGACTTCTTCCTTCATCGACAGCGTAGTTTGTAGACAGCATTCAGCACCTGAGGAAACCATTCATCTTTAGTGTGTTCTTTTTGCACATGTTCCTTTCTTGCTGCTTTGACAGCAAAACGAGAGGAAACGCTTTCAGAAGCAATAGATTTCAATATTGTTTCCGTCAGCTAATTCCTTTTAATTATTAGTCTAATTTAGATATAGAGATTAAAAAGCATTCATTGAGTATAATAGTGCTTATCTCACACAGGAAGCAAGTGCTGTAGCTACACTAAAGTCCACTTGAAGACAAAAGACCTGTTGCTATGCAAAACATCCTGTGATTTGAGTTTGTTATTCTTAATGCTGGTCCCCTGATGTGTCATTTTTTAGACTGTCACTATTGTTCCTTCTACTTTTTTTTTCCCCTCCTGTTTACTTTATTTCTGTGCCCTCTTGTCACCTAGTGCTAATATAAGAGTTAGTTTCTATTTCACAGAACTACCTTAAAAAAAAAAGTCCTTTAGCTTTAATTGCTGTATGACTAGCACTACTGACTGGGTTTTGATGACTCCCAGGACACAGAACTGCTTTTGAAAAATCCCAGACTCCCTCCTATAGAGCAGATCTTTGCTTCCTTTCTATCTTTCATTACTACAGACCTATGATTAGCCCAAAACTGAGCTGCAATTAAATGAAAATTTAAAATATTCATCCCAAAAGTTTGATTTGCAAAATTAAACTGCTGGACAGCTTCATGTTTCCAAACAAAACAATCTTTAAAAGAAAAAAAAAAAATCAGTCCTTGTCACAAAGGAATGATGGATGCACCTATCCAGCTGCTTTTGCCTTCTGAAGCCCAGCAGATGATCTGCAGGTGAGTCAACCAGAGCAGGTTCTAATCACTGTCGGAAGAATGCTCAGAATTATATTTCCAGATATACAGGTGGGAACCTTACTGGTATCATAGCTCTTCCAGGCATAAAAGAAATGAGACTTCCAAAAATATGTGCCAAAACAAGCAGCACACATCATGTTATAAATCAGCATAACATTTGAAAAAGGACTGACTGAAAAGCAACAATTAGATAAAATAGACTGAACATTAGAAACTTTAGTAGGTTCCAGGCTGCAAGTGCCATCCAAACAGAATGGTGATGGAAGAGGAGCATAATTCTGGTCTGAGAGAGAGAGAGGCGCTTCTTGGCTCAGTATTACAAGCAGTGGAGCAACACACAGTAAATTCTGGTTCATCAACCCACCTGGGTAACTGTGGCACAAAGCATGCTCTGTGGCTTAGACTCCTTTCAGCAGCAGTCACGTGCTCTGTTCTCTCCCCAAGGTCTATGCACACCCTTATTCTGCAAAGAAAAACAAATATCATAACTTAAAAATATATTCCAGTCTTTTTGTACTTCAAACTATACCTAAAAATACTGCATTTAACAAAGCCCACTGCCTAACAAGAGCTCACTTGGAAGTGCAGGTAAAAGGAATATGGACAACACAGGGGAGTGATCTCTCTTTAGTGAAGATACCTCCTGCGTAACCTTCAGGCTCATGCTAGATGTGATAGGAAGAAAAAGAGGTTAAATGCTAAATTCTTCCAGCTGGAGCCATCAGCTGAGATCATGCCCAGGATGCTCACAGGTAAGGATAGGGCTGGCTGCTGTCACAGAGGCCTTCCAGCATTAATGCCACCCTCTAAATGTGCATCTTTTATTAAAACAGAGACATATTGGCAGCTCAAAATTAACTTGCCTTCATAAGAGATTACCAAAATAGCCACATCCATAGGAAAAACACTTCACAAGTATAGCAGGCTGCTAAAGCTGCCTGCTAAAGCTGCTGAAGCTACCAAAACATTTACAGTATATACTTGATTTAATGACCAAAGATAAGTTGCCTTCACATTTATTAGGAAAGAACCTTGAACACACAGTAATAAAACTGACCTGTTAAAAAGTTATTTGAAGACCTCAAAAAAAATGTGCAACATTTTAGCTAAAGTCAGCAATGTTTAAATAGAAAACAAATGATTAAAAACACAGATGAATTATATGATTATTCACACTCAGCTGGTGGACCTCACCCAAAGGTGCTATATTTACTACATGCCTCCAGACATGGGCAAAGAATGTGGTCTTTCAGGTCTGGCATCCTCCAGCCAAGTGAAAAGTCCATCTGGCTTTAGAACAATAAAAGCAGAATAGGGAAAGAAAACAATTTATTCATCCCTAGTCAAACAAATTTCTCTGACATAACCAAAGTCTTTTACATTACCAACACTGTGGTTCCTCACGTTTTTAAAAATACAGATGCTTAAAAGAAACCTCTGAGTAAAGCAGTGCTCCCCAACGCACCTGCCACGAGCATCTGCAGGAGCCGGGCTTGTCCTTGCGACATTCCTAGGGAGAAGATAAACCAAAGCAATCGCCTAGTCCCCATTTCCTTCTCTTCATGTTCATTAAAAATAGCTTAGTGTAATACCTAGGGAAAATATTTAATACAAACGGCATCTCTTCCAGAACTTTGCAGTGGGCAGCAGGGAAATGACACACACAAATCTCTTATTGCTACATCCAATATTATTATCTGAATTTTACTGTCATTGTTGTAGATTAGAAAATTGCTGGGGAGTGAGGACTGGATTTTAAAGGTCTGTAATTACTCCACGTACGTCCCTGTGCGTAAAGGGCTCTTGTATCCAGATGCCAGAGCGTTTCCACGAGGGGACAAGCCCTGAATGGAGGAAGTCTTTGAGACCACCTGGCCGAGTTCCAGCAGACGACACAACCCAACGAGACCTTCTTGCTTTGGGGTGAAGTTGGAGAAATGACTGAAGAAACTAGCACAGTTTAAACGCAAGAAAAATTCAAGTCCTCGACTTGCATAGAAATGAAACATCAAAACTTAACTTGGGAGTTCTTTCAAGCAGACCCAAACTACCCATCCTTCTAAATATTCCATATATCTAAAACTACACAAAGATATCTTCCTTGTGCCACAAGGAACTCCCCAGCTGTCACCTAGACGGGAAGGCAACATCAAGAACCAAGCGCTCGGATACACTTGCAGCAGCTGAGGGGCCCTGTCCCAGATGGGGACCCCTCTGGGCAGGGACACCGGGGACAAGCGCAATGTGGCCCTCGCCCATTACCTTAACTTGCTTTCATAAAAGGAGCACCACTTCAAGTCTTAAACTGGCAACTCTTCCTAGCCTGCAGGAATAGTTTGTCTCAATGCAAAATATCAGCAGTCACAAGAGCCAGGAGCCAACAGCAGCCTTTTCTCCTCAAGCTTCTCCCACAGAGAGAGACACGTGTATTTTTTTGCAGGGGACAACGCGCACAAAGGCACATCTGCAGTTAATGAGAAGTTTAATTTCTTAACTGAGAGCAAAACTTTAGACTCTCCAATCAAGCTCCATCACTTTCAGCCTTTCTTTCAGTTTCAAGGGCTCCTATGAAAAGACAGAAGTGCCAAGACTTCATTACAGGTCAGAGCTGGTCGTAGCCAACTCAGTTTCAGGCAGTGGCCGTACCTAAAATCCCTCTGATATATCCAGGTTTTAAAGCATCACCTCTCCCAGGGGATCTCATCTACTGCAATAATTTTCCTGATGCAGAACGAAGGTTGTTTTGTCTCTGCAGGGAGCCCAGGAGCACCCGTGGTGGTAAGAGCAGTTAAGCCTGGCTTCCCCTGCTCGCTATGGCTCAGCTCAGACTCCAGCACACTCTAAAGGGGACGAGGTTTGACCCGCTATTTATAGCGTTATCATCAACTGGGCAGCTGCTAAAAAACAAAATAAAATCACACAATGTTTTAATGATAAAATTGAGAGGAGGCTCTGGATGGGTTAACACCTCAGACAATTAGTCTAATTAGGAAAATTGTTAGAAGTAACAAAAAAATGGGTAATTCCAGATTTTGCCTGCAGGTAGCATTTTAAGAATGAACTGGAATTCAGTGCATGACAGAGCAATGCATCATAGCTTTCAGTGCCAAAATACTTGTCTCCTATAGGCAACAGTCCCTGAAATCTTCTCCCTGCTTTGCTGAACAGGTAAAACAGTAGCTACCCAAGATAACAGAGTAGAATATTCAAAAAACTTAAAAAAAAAAAATCTATAATACTATACAGACATTAAAGAGAAGAAAAACCACTAACTCCAAATGAGGAAAAAACCCACCATTCTTCACAAGAAATGTATAATGGAGAAAACAAATCATGACAGCAAGGGACACTAAGTGACACTTTCTAACTGGCCTTGAGTTAAATTTAAAGCAATGTAATGAAAACAGGTATGCCCTTATATTGCTGAAAGATAAGTAACAGTATAACATTTTCATGATCAATCGCATTTCTTTAATCATTACAAAATCTGAGTGCATTAGTGTGGCTTTGCAGGTTTGAGGAGCTTAAACTCTTAAGTAACAAAATAAACTTCACATGGTTAAAGAAGTAAAGAAACAAGCTTCTTGCTCTAAACAAGATTTCATTAGTGTTTCACGACAGCACCTTCGAAATAATTCAAGAGTACATTCACAAGGGAAAAAAAGATACACAAATCAGATTTAAAATCCTGATGTGCAGAAGGCCAAGCAACATCATGCAGCGAGATGAAAGTTTCATGCAAGATTCATCTTCTCATCAAAGCATCCCCAAGCCTCACATACGGATCATAAAGCTGAAGAGAAAGAGAGATTTAAATGCTAAAAGCAACTTAATTATCATGCTTCCATAGTGCTCTGCACAACTATAAACTCCTGACTGCCCTATGTGCTACGCACAGGCACAGAGAAGCCAGATAATTTACTTACAAAGTCTGGAGAGGCACCAGCAGCCTCCGTTTCCTACATATAAATGCAACCGCCTCCAAAGAGCCACATCCATTTTGCATTTTAATGCTATTTTTAGGTATTTTAAAATAGTTTCTATTTTGACTGATGCGTAATCCAAAAAAAACCACAACCCTAACTGGAAAAATCTATTTCCACGGCTGCAAATGTCAAGTGTCCGGCACGATGCTCTGCCCAGGCTGGCGCTGCAAGTGCCACCGGAGCGGGAGTCTCCGCGGCGGGCGCAGCTCTGGGAGCTGCGAGGGCAGCTGGACCCCAGATGCCTAATGAGGCAGCAGGCACAGCTCGCTCTGCCCTTCAGAAATAGCGTTCCAAATTATATGAAATTATTTGCTCTAACAAACGCGACAGGTTGAAAAAAATCTGTTTCTATGACATGAAGATTTGATCCTCAGAAGCAAGTCAGAAACTGAAGACAGGTGATTTTTAGTGAGGGGAAATACATATATATTTATACATGAAAAGCTTATGATGTGGTTTGCAGCAAAAGGTGTTTTCATTGTACAAATGCAGGACAGTGAACAAGATCATCTGCTGCAAGCATGTGTTAGTGAAGGCACCTATAACATATATGGTCATAACACTGGCCAACTTTGAAAACAGTTTTCTCTTAAAAAAACAAAACAAAACCAAAAACAAAACAAAACACCCCACACTCTCTTGCTCTTAGCACTAGGATCTCATAGTAGCACTCTCAGAACATGGGGAAAAAAGACACTGAACCAAATAGCGGGTTTTTTCCCCCTTGGCTTTTCACAGACAGATCTTACAGAGACAACCATGAAGCACGTTCCTCATCACTCGAAGAAACTCCATGTTTTATACGATGAGCTTCCTATTAAAAAACAACACGAATTTATTAACAAGGGAGCACGTTGCACTGCGCAGCTCCCACCTCTGTACTAGGCACTGGGCACTAGGTTGTCCTCTTCGGCATGAAGCTGCAGGAGGATTTCCAGCCCTCTCGGCGCCGCTCGCTCGGGAAGCGGCGCAGGGGACCCAGCACCGCAGAGCATCTGCCCCAACCTCCCGGGCCCATCCGGGGGCTCCCCCTGCTCTCACCCAGAGCCCCGTGAATCTCTCCCAGCCACACGCGTCTCCTTTTATAGATCTCCTTCCTTCCTGCCGTCCTCGGTGCCAGCCGGAGATAAGGCCTTAGGAAACAGCCTTTTTTGACTGCTTGGGTTTATCGCTCGTGCGCAGCGCCTCTCGCACACCCAGCTCCCTTCCTGATCTATTCACAGGCACTGCTGCAACCATTAACCTATAGAAAAAGAATTTTTTTCCACACTTGCATCATTAAAAATGACTACACCATGTCATTCAGGTCGTCCTGAGTCTACTTCTCCTGAAGACTGAACACAAAGAAGTTAATGGGGAAAAATGCTCAGAGTCCGTTATTAGAAGAGGCCAAATTTAATCTAGCAGGTACTAGTTAACACAGAGCCCGGGATTAACGTTACATGGCTTCCCCAGTTGATTCTTTTTTTCACATCTG